TTCTGAGAAATTTCTGATAGACAAAATAAAACTAGATCTGAGAAAGATGGGAGGGGAGGGGTTGAGAAGAAGTTAGTAGATAATCATAGGATAATTTTAAGTATATCAATGATTGGAAGAAAAGCAGTGAGCAGGGACAGTTGATAGAGCAGGGCCCCAGTTACCTGGGCTTACTGGCACAAACAAAAGTGGTAGTGTTGGAAAAGAACAGAAAAGCCTTTCTGAGTTGGGAAGCTGAGGGAGAAAAGAGGAGTGAAGACAGAGAAACTGTACACTGAAGAATACATTAGATTAACAGAACCGCCTTTGAGACACCCACTTTAAATCAATTAGGAAAAACATAACCCCTTATATATAGCATGGAAAACCATGTGTACCAAAATTCATTTATGGAGAACTTAAAAAAAATAAACCAGAGATACATTGTGCCAACTGGTCAATTGTCTCACAGTTAATTTGCTTGGTAAATTTCCCTGGTCATCTGTTGTACCTCTGTTAATTGTATAAGGACCAATTTTAGGAGGTTTAATAGAATCACTGGGGCTATCTGACAACAGCTTTTGTGATTTCCAGATTTTTCTCAAAGGGAGTTCCTTGGGTGGCAAACACTTAGTCCCCGTAGAACTCTGTAAGAGCCAAAGAATATTTCATTTATGAAAATTATTTCTGTAGGCTACATTTAAACAAATAGGGCCAATGAAGACAAAGCTTTACTTACTTACTTTGGCTGGGCACGATGGCTCACACCTGTAATCCTAGCATTCTGGAAGGCTGAGGCAGGAGGATTGTTTGAGGTCAGGAGTTCAAGAGTGGCCTGAGCCAAGAGGGAGACCCTGTCTCTACCAAAAATTGAAAAAAATTAGCCAGATGTGGTAGTCCAAACCTGCAGTCCCAGCTACTTAGGAGGCTGAGGCAGGAGGATGGCTTGAGCCCAGGAATTTGAGATTTTAGGGAGCTATAATCATCCCACTGCACCCTACCTGGGGTGACAGAGCAAGACTGTCTCAAAAAAAAAAAAAAAAAGATTATTTACTTTATTAATAATCTGTCATGAGACTTCTTTAAATAGCAAAGATACTCTAGTACCGGCATTAATTCACTTGCAGTTAAAAATTTATTTAGCCAAAGCTAAACATATATGCCTTGCTCTAAGCCTTTACACATTTTCCTCCCTTTCCACAACTGGCTAACTTTTTTTTTTTTTTTTTTTGAGACAGAGTCTCACTTTGTTGTCCAGGCTAGAGTGAGTGCCGTGGCGTCAGCCTAGCTCACAGCAACCTCAAACTCCTGGGCTCGAGTGATCCTTCTGCCTCAGCCTCCCGAGTAGCTGGGACTACAGGCATGCGCCACATGCCGGCTAATTTTTATATATATATCAGTTGGCCAATTAATTTCTTTCTGTGTTATAGTAGAGACGGGGTCTCGCTCTTGCTCAGGCTGGTTTTGAACTCCTGACCTTGAGCAATCCGCCCGCCTCGCCTCCCAAGAGCTAGGATTACAGGCGTGAGCCACAGCGCCGCCTGGCTAACTTTTACTTAGCTTTTTCAGTCTACTCTAAGCTTCCAAGTTACTAGCTAAGGTCTCCTATTATTCTCTTTGTACCATTTAGCACAACTGTAATTACTTTTTTTTTTTTTTTTGAGACAGAGTCTCGCTTTGTTGCCTAGGCTAGAGTGAGTGCATGCGTCAGCTAGCTCACAGCAACCTCAATCTCCTGGTCAAGCAATCCTTCTGCCTCAGCCTCCCGAGTAGCTGGGACTACAGGCATGCGGCCACCATGCCCAGCTAATTTTTATATTATATATATATATATAGTTGGCCAATTAATTTCTTTCTATTTTTATAGTAGAGACGGGGTCTCGCTCTTGTTCAGGCTAGTTTCGAACTCCTGACCTCGAGCAATCCGCCAGCCTCGGCCTCCCAGAGAGTAGGATTCAGGCGTGAGCCACCACGCCCGGCCTGTAATTACTTTTTTTATGTAATTCTTTTAAAGTATATGTTCCCTGACAGACTGCAACCATCATAAGGGAAGGCAGAGGCCCCATGTGTTGTGTTCTCTGCAATACAGCACCCAGCAACATAGCATATGGCCCATTTTAAGAGTCCAGTAAATATCAGTGACATCATTTAAGATCTCTGTTGTTAGCAGAATACAATCTTGGTAAGATACACAAGAAACTTTTGCATACACATCCTTGGCTAAACTCCAGGAAGCGCTATAGCTCTCAAATCATATACCGGGGTACAATTTCTTGCAAAGATTCCAATAACTGGGTCTTGTCTTAAAAGGACACAGTGACAGGAAAAATCTGAAACAGTTGAATAGCAATCTTTAAATTATTGCATCTCTACATTTCCATTATCTACATCCCCTTTTCCAATGTACAGAGATAAAAGAGAAGGCAAAGTGAAATATAAACACCTTATTACCCTCTAAAATAAGAATTACTAGAAAGAGAGCTGCTGTATCTGCCAACATAAAAAAATGGAGATTTGAAATGCTACTCCCCATCAAACAGCCCAAAAACATTGTAACAATTCAGCATTACAGGGAATAAGGCTTTAGAAGTATGTAAAGAATGATCAAAATGTATCTTTTAATGATAGTTTCACAGACAAGGAAGATATTAAGAAGAAAAAAATGTAGGAATACAGGACTGAGCATTTTTTCACTTTACAACAGTGCAGGGACAGGCAGGAGGAAGAAAATGAGACACAGAGATGCATTATATAGGAAAATGTGCTCATATCCACTAATAAATACTGCACACTGACAACAGTGCATTACCAAAATTGAAAGAGTAATCAGTGGGTAATCAAAGTGGGGGAAAGAAGAACTATTAGGTCTATGCCTGACAATGCCACATTGAAAGCAGAAAAGAGAAAGGGGGAAGGGCACAAATACAACTCTAGTAACAGTATCCATAAAGTAGAAACAGTGGCCAAAATACTAGGAAAGCTCAAGGTACACACAGCAGACAATAGTCTGCTAGCATGGGAAAAAAACAGCAGCACAAGAGAAGCATGCTATAAGATGGAAAGATATACGGTACCAGCAAGAAGATATAAGCCTTGAGGGCAGTGACACAGGAAGCATTCACAACTGACTGGAGCTCATGGCTTGCTTCACTATTTTTTTTTTTTTAAGAGACACTGCCTCCTCCTGTTGCCCAGGCCAAAGTACAGTAGTACAATGTCACCACCTGCAGCCTCCAGCACCTGGGCTCAGGGGATCCTCCCATCTCAGCCTCCAGAATTGCTGGGACTAAAGGCAAGCACCATCATGCTCGGCTAATTTTTTTATTTTTCTGTAGAAACAAGGTCTCATTATGTTGCCCAAGCTGGTCTCAAACTCCTGGCCTCAAGTGATCCTCCTGCCTCAGCCTCCCAAAGTTCTGGGATTACAGGCATAAGCCACTGTGGCCAACCTGCTTCACTGCTTTTAACTGACTCTTCTCCCTGACTGCACCAATCTTTCCAGTATTTTTAAAGAGCTCTCCTCACTTTTAACATTTGTACTGCAATATGTATTTAATATCACCCAGGAGAGACTAAAATCTATCGATACGCTGCACTGCTGAGGGTAGCAGACCACCTCTCCTTTCTGAATGAAGGACTCAGGCCTACTAATAGGTACAAGGTTCTCTACAGAGTCCAGTCCCTCTGTAAGCCAGAGGCCTGCTACCAGAGGTTATCTTCCCTTCTGTTGTGACCTCTCCATCTCAACTGATTTGGTTTTGGCTTTCAAAGAGGCTAGGGTTGGCAACTTTAGCTTAATTATCAAAGTCCAGATGGGTGCTTTTCAAACCCTGCGCCAAGAAGATGCCTCTAGGACAAAAGGGAGGCTAAGTGGGTGGGGCTCAACCCCCTTAAAAGAATTCATGGGGAGAAATTGTTCCACTCCTTTAAAACGTATGAAAATCACAAATCTGGTTATTGGTTTGTATGGAGTCATTACTTACTGCAAAGTATATTTCAAACCACCCAGTTTTGTATGTTCTTTAAACAGGGTCTTCGAAAGGACAAAAGGTTAAGTTTTTATATTTCTTTTCCTCACCCCATTTAAATGCTAAAATGGGCGTTTAGTAGTCAATGGAAAACTCCTAGTCAATTTAGCCTTTCAGACATTAGGAAATTTATAAAATAATTATATATTTTCAGGTACTGATGGTCTATTTTTCATCATTATATGACAACGAAATTAGGCATGACCAAAACTAGGAATGCGTGGATTGGCACATGTGTTAAGGCATTTAAGAGCGGTAAAACTGACAGGCGGAAGCAAATGGTATGCGGACACCAAAGTGAAAGCTGTTCTCCTACAGAAATCGAGACTTAACAGCACATTTCCTAACGGGAAGGGCTTCTCTGACTGGGAAAGGCCTCCACTTCCTTCATTCTCATAAGCCAAATCTGATCCTAGCTTTGGGCAAATCTATTGAGTCCCTTCCCTCAGTGGAAGGGAAGCTTCTTTTAGGTTAAGTAGATTAGAGGTCGCCTCTTCTCTGCCTCAGAATAAGGGCAAACGAGCCGGCAGCCTAGGTCGTTGTGGCGACAGCGACTGCGACGCAGGGAAAAGGGGGAGAATCCGCGCCGTCCGGCAGCCCTGGGGCCTGTCAGCTCCTCTCACCCGCCCACCCAACCCCATTCTTGGGTCTACACTTACCAGGTGGAAGCTACAGCTCTGGGCAGGGAGTAACTGGATTGAATTGGGTAGAGTTCCGCTGTACTTCTTAGAGCCGCTGCTGGGAAGAGGCTGAAACCCAGCGGCCGCAGCAGTCGCTACCGCCTCTGTTACTGGGGGGTCTCGCCTCCATCGCTGGCTGCGAGGAGTCTGAGGGCACGTGACCGGAAGTACCTAGGCGGCCCAAGGGGCACGTGACCCCAGAGCGTGGCCGCCATGACACCTTCCGCTGGTTCCCTCCCTCCCCCACCGGTTCCCGCCTGTTTCTTTTCCTCCCTCCGGTCCAGAGCAGTCAAAGGTCCAGAGATCCTGGCTGGCCCACCCATTTGGCCTAGAGCTCCTCCGGTTCCAGTCGATGCCGTGTCTTCAGCCTGCGGCGGTCTTCGGACTCCAGACGGTAGAGAGCGTAATCGCGACCGCGGCCTGAGGGGGGAGGGACCACGCGCAAGGAGGGGCGTGGTCCGTCACGTGACGAGGAAGTGCCGTTAATAGCGTTGCCCCCCGCGTCCCTGGCGCTCCTGGATGACGCGACTCAGGAAGGGGAGGAGCGGGAGGGGAGACTGAAGTTCAGGTTCCGCTTTCAGTCTGCTGTTAGTGGCCCGGCACGTAGCCGGGTGAGTAGGTGCGTTTTGCTGAGAGTGGGAGCTGCTGGCCTGTATGTAGTGTAGCGGGGCCGGGACCTCCGGGTTGCTGGTCTGTGAGCCTGGCTTTGAAAACTTGGTTACTGGGGCTCTTCTCATCAAGAGATCTGAATACAGTATTAAAGTTACTGCTGTTAAAAAGGTAGTTTTGCTAGACGAAAAGCTTTTTGTGGGCAGGGACTGTATTTTGTTTATCCTTGTGTCTCCAGTGAATGAATGAATGAGTGCATGAATGAGTGAGTCCCCATCTCTTTGTCTTTGGCGGAGAATCGTTCTCTGATCTTTGATAGAAAGAGTCCATTATGAACATGAGGAAATCTGGTACTTCACCTTCGCATCATTTAATTTTTGTTCCCTTTCTTACGCCTTTCGCGTCTCCTTTTTTTCCATACATCTAGTGGGGCAAAAGAGAAAACTGATTTGCATTTGATTTGTGAGCAGCGAACACTGTACTGTTTTGCGTTATCATCAAGTCATGCAGGGAAATGGAAAGATCATTAGATCTGGATTCAGGAGAGATGCGTTCTAATCTCAGCTCTCCCTTTTATGAACTCTGTGATCCTTGGGCAAGCCAGTCTCCCAGTTGTTTCATTGTCTTTGGTAAGCGTATGTCTACAACTTCTGTATGCTTAGTTTTTTGCTAGGCTGGAGCTGTGACAGACTTTACAGAAGAAACATTTAAACTCAGCTTTGCAGAAAGATAGGGTTTTGTTAAATGGGGGAAGATTTTAAAAAAACAGGCATATATTAAACCATAGAGGCACAGTAAGTTTATAGAAGGAAAGAGAAATAAAAGATGGTCCAATACAATTGGAGAATAGAAGGCTAAAATGGGATACATCACAAGATTATATAAGAAGGAGAGCTATTGAAGGTTTGTACAGAGGGTTTTCTTTTAAAGTGTATACTTTTAAAGCTTTTTATTGTGGAAAATTTCAAAATTAGACCAAGTAGACAGGATGATAAAATGAACCCTCATGTTTACACAACCCAGCTTTAACAATTAGCATTCTGCTGTTCTTGTTTGTACTGAGCCTGTAAATTTCTAGGTGCTTTTTATTATATCCATTGTTGCATTTGATTAATAGCAGCTTTCAATTTGAGCTCAATTCTGTGTCTAGGTACTGGCTAGGAAGGTTTTATTATGTGAAAAATTTTTTTGGGTTTTAGTCGACTGCTTTGTTGAATCAACAGTGTAACATGGCCACTTTAAAAACACAGCTAACTATTTTAGCATGTAATATAAAAGTTAAGTGTCCAGATTGAGGAAGTTAGTGTTTCTGTTCTATTCTGGGCTCATCCAGCTACTTAGGGAGTACTATGTTCAATTCTAGGCACCTCATTTTGAGGCAAACTGAAGTACCTCTGTCAAAAGTTGACCAGAATGGAGAATTTGGAAATTGTCACATCAGGAATGGTGGAAGTGTGGGAATTTTAAATTTTTAGAAGACCTGATAATGCTTTTCACATACTGAAGAGTTATTTTGGAAGGAGTAGACTTATTCAACTGTAGAAGCCACAATTAGGAATAATGCTAAGAGCTCTGAGCGATCAGATTTCAGCCCAACATTAAAAAGGCCTTGTATCAGTGAGCACTGTGGAGTACTGGAATGGGCAGTGTCCATGAGAGTGAGTGCTTTCTTTCCATTGCTGAAAATGTCAGGGATATAGGGCAAAACTAATTTCTGCGTTAGGTTAGATGTGTGCACAGAATTACCTTTGAGTCCTCTTCCACCTTGAGAATTCTGAGAAGCGGGGCTTATATGGGACCTTGGAGGCTGGGCAGATTTGGATAAGAAGAGCTGAAGAGGAACCAGTCATTTCAGGGAGAGTTAACGTAAAGAAAGATATAAAGTTGGAGTTGGTTTAACACTGTCACCCAGCAACTGCTCTTGAGAACTAACATTACCTATGATGTTTTATTTTCCATTCTCATCTCCATTAAATCTTTTTGTTTTTGTTTTTTTAAGAAGAAACTTACTAGGTTCTTTTCTCCCATTATATCATAACTTCCAGCACATTTTCTTTTCACAGAGATCAAAACACAATGGCCTATCCACCTCAGTTTCTTTGTTTCAAGATCACAAGTGAAAGAGACATTATGGTCTTGATATCATTTCTTTTGATCACTTTTGGATCTTGTGCCATGGTTTTATCTTTTTCTTGTATCTTCAGTCACTTTTGCTTTAAATACTCTGCTTTTAGGCTGGGCTTGGTGGATCATGCCTATAATGCTACCACTCTGGGAGGCTGAGGTGGGAGGATTACTTGAGGTCAGGCGTTGAGAGCAGCCTGAGGAATATCAGGACCCCTTCTCTATTAAAAATAGAAAAAAATTTAGCTGGGCGTGGTGGCACTCACTTGTAGTCCTAGCTATTTGGCAGGAGGATTGCTTTAGCCTAGGAGTTTGAGGTTACAGTGAGCTATGATGACGCCACTGCACTCTAGCCAGGGTGACAAAGCAAGACTGTCTCAAAAAAAAAAAAAAAAAAAAAAGACTCTGCTTTTACTGGAGGCTGAAGTGTGAGGATTGCTTGCGGCCAGGAGTTATAGGCTATAGTGAGCTATAATTGTGCCACTGTACTTCAGCCTGGGCCACAGAGCAGACCCTGTCTCTGAAAAAATAAAAAAAGTCTTAGCTACCACGTACAAAACTGTCTGAGTCTTCCCTTTTTGGAGAGTCATGAGGTTTTCTCCTTTTCCACCAGACTTCGTAAGTAATTGAAATGCTTTATCTTCACTTCCTCACCACCCACCCTTTTCCCAAGTCCTTGTTTTCTAGCATCTGCCCACATTACTTTACAGAAATTATGTGACTTCCCAACACCAAATTCTTCAATGCCTTTCTGTTGCCTGCCAAATTAAGTTTAAGTTCTTTGGTTTGATATTCAAAGTATTTTGTAACTTGAGTCCAAATTACTATCCCAGCTTTATCTTTCATTATTCCACTGCTTGTATCTGATGTTTCAACCAAAGACTAAACTTGTATTCTTCAAATATATTCTGCATTTTTTCATCTCTGATGTTTGCATATTGCTGCCTTACCTGCTACTCTTTTCCTTTTCCTTTGGAGAAAAGCCTACTTGGCATCAGTGCTACTTCCCTTGGGAAGTTTTCTATGGTTCCCTCTAATTCAATGTGATCCCTCTGTCCTCTAAGTTCTAACAGAGCACTTTGCTTATGTTTCCCTTATAAGACCTCGGTGTGTGTGTGTGTGTGTGTGTGTGTGTGTGTGGTATTTGTCTTTGTATCGCTATTTAATTATACACTGATTGATTTCTGGAATTATTTTACTTGACTTATTTCCACCCCTGTGCCTGATGTTTTACTAGGTACTCAATAAAATGAATGAATGAAAAGAATGAGAAAAGATTTTTCTTAGATCAGGATCAGACATTCTCAAATATTTTGAGTATAAGCATACCAAAGTTTTTTTTTTTTTTTTTTAGAACACCCATTCTCCTTGCAAAGGTCAAGCTCTATTAAGAACAGTGTTAATAGCAGAAGACAAGACCATATTATGTGTATGTAGTAAAAAATATCTTAAGCTTCTATATGGTTTTTTCACTGGAGAGTATGTTCTTGAGGGTTCGGTCTTTGTTTTGTTCTCTATTGTTATCTCCAGGACCTAGAACAATCCCTGGCACATAGGTGGTGCTCAGTATGTATTTGTTGAATACGTGAATAAATAAATACATATGTTCCTCAAAAATAAAGTCAAGAACACAAAACACAGTATAAACAAAAAGCAATTAAGTATAAACAGTTGTTTCTGAATTTTTCTGTTGTATCATATTGCTTTTTATTTTTAATTTGGCAGGTAGCAAATGATTGAGGAAAAGTTAAAATTAATGGGTAGAATTTTCTTAAATTTCCTTTTCCTTTTTTTCTGGAAAATCGATACAATTTGATAAAAATGTGCACTTGAGAGTGGTTGAACAGATTAAGAACTCTTGTGTTAGTTTTCCAAGTCTTCATGGGGTATTTGGCATTTGCTACCTTGTATTCTTATGTGTATTCATTCCTGTCTAGTCTCTTTTGTTGAAGCTCTTAGTCTTTGTGCTCTGATTGCTTGCACCTTACTTCTTACTTAGTAGGTGTATTATTCATTCAACATACTTACTGAGACCCTGCTAGGCTGGAGAGAGAGGTCCAGAGGTCTGTTTCTATTACGTAGTGTTCAATTGTTAGCCCTAACTGTAGTGCTTGCTGATAAGGGTTTATAATTTGAGGCCTTTACAGAAAATAGCATTTTAATAAAGAACTCTTAAAGACAGAAGAAAATTTTCAATTCAAAGAAATGCAGCAGTGTGCTGGCTGTTAATATTTTACCTCAGAGGAGCTTGACCAATTTTCCTTTTAAATTCTACTATGTCCATTCTACCTACTCCCGCAGTTAGATAATAAAGTGGGATAGGATTATGGAGGGCTTTGAGAATCTGGACCTGATACTCTGGGAGTTTTAGGGTCAGGGAATGGATGACACGGTGTTAGCACACTGTGGCATAAGATGTTACTCATATGCGTTTTCTTTCCACCTTGATGCTAAGCACCTGTACAGTAGGGATTGTGGTCCCTTTCTCATGTTTCCTTATGTTCCCCACATATTTATTAAATGCATGCTCAGTGAATGGTGAGCTTCTTAAATTATATTTCTGTATGTTTTTATTCAGGTGAGGAATTCTGTGCCTATCACTCAAGAATTTTCAACTCTCTGGCTAAATGACTTTTGTGCCAGTGATACCAGAGTCCTACAGCCATGTTCTTGCAGAGTTTGAGCCTCTGGATCCATTGCTCTCAGCCCTGCGGCTGGACTCCAGTCGTCTAAAGGTGAATTTCTTGATCATTGTATCGGTTGCATATTTATAATTTTGTGTGCTGTTACGTGTGCCCCTGCTGTCTCGTTCCTTACGTGGAATCTTGGGTGTTCTTGCTTGTCTTATTCATACCTTAGTAGAAAAAAGAAAAAAAACCTTTTTATGTGAGGAATATGAGCCCTTTTAAATTATCAGACATAGAGAGGCATTGGAATGAGACAGCAGTTATGTCACTTCCCCTTGAGCTAAATAATTACCTCTTTTTTTTTTTTTTTTTTTTGATACAGAGTCTGGCTCTGTTGCCCTGGCTACAGTGCCATGGCATCAGCCTAGTTTACATCAACCTCAAACTCCTGGGCTCAAGCAATCCTTCTGCCTCAGCCTCCCGAGTAGCTGGGACTACAGGCACGTGCCACCATGCCCCGCTAATTTTTTCTGTATATTTTTAGTTGCCCAATTAATTTCTTTCTATTTTTAGTAGAAACGGGGTCTCACTCTTGCTCTGTCTCTACTAAAAATAGAAAGAAATTAATTGGCCAACTAAAAATATATAGAAAAAATTAGCGGGGCATGGTGGCGCGTGCCTGTAGTCCCAGCTACTCGGGAGGCTGAGGCAGAAGGATTGCTTGAGCCCAGGAGGTTGAGGTTGCTGTGAGCTAGGCTGATGCCATGGCACTCTAGCCCAGGCAACAGAGCCAGACTCTGTCTCAAAAAAAAAAAAAAAAGGCAGATTAATAGGAGACAAGGCATACAAGAAGTTTTTGAATGTGCATAGCACAGGGGAATCACAGGAGAATGATTACCCAGTAACCCAGTACAGAAGCTTATATATTCTTTTTTGTAGGGGAGGAGCGAGATGGGAATATAGACAATTCTACTGGGCAACAGTGAATCATCTGGGAGAATGCATGGGCCTGGTGGATAGGAGGCAGACTTTTCGGGAAGGTGAGGGATGGAGCTGCAAAGGAACAATCTGTCTTATGCACATATCATCCCCCTGGTAATCTCTTGGAGCTACCCTCAGAAGAACAAATGGAAAGTCTGTCTAGGTGTGATGATGACTCCCAGTCTCTTCTCTTCTCCTGTGATTGTTCTTTCCTGATTATTTGATGAGATCCCTAGGAAGGGGGTTTAAGACAACTGCATTTCTTTTAGAAGAAAGCTTTCTTGGTCAAATAAGGTAATTCCAGAGAGAGTCCCATCCTGCACGTGCAGGGAGGTGGTGAACAAGACAAGGTTAGAGGGACTTTGATTTTGAGGCAGCTTCTAATGCCTCTCAGCATGTCAAAGCACCATATTTTGGGGCATCAGTTTCTGAGCCCAGCAACCCCATTACATTTTGAATAACTTGAACCACTGCAGTTGTAGTAAGATCATTCCGAAACAGGGAATTTGATGTAACTTCTGTTTTAGAGAGCAAAGCAAAAGTTAGCTCTGTGGGAAGAACTATGTACTTGCCTCAACTTCTGAGTTCTTTTGATTAAACCCAGGAATGACATGGTGAAGGACAAAGTCTTATAACCAATTCCAAAATAATTTCATTTTTACACTTTTGCTACTGTTCCAAAGCACCTTTCTGCCCTCTCAGGAAAGGAAGACTAGGGAATGATAGGCAAAGTAATATGAGCAACAATTGTGAGGGTTGATATCAGTGAGAAATTTTTTCAGTTGCAAGTTACAATGTAGTGTAACCTACTAGAGTAACTTCAGCAATAAAGATGTTTATAATCTCATTGGAGGAATTTAGTGTTTCTGGGTTTAGTGATATCACTGAAAACACTCCATCCTTCCTGTTCTACCATCATCCATATGTTAGCTTTTCATCACATTTGCAATGTGTGTTCTATCTCCAGTCTTACTGTTCTCATTAGCTTTGTAAAGCAAGAAAGAGGGAGCCAAGCGCAAAGCCTTTCTTTTCTTCAGGCTCTCCCATTTTCTGGAAAGATAAAGCTTCCTTAGAAGCCCCAGCAAGCTTAGTCTTATGAACTGGAATTGAGCTACATGGTTACACCCGGCAGCCTGGGAAACTGGGAAGGTGAATATTTAGGTTTTATGACTTCTCTGGTGAAAAGCAACAAAGTTGAAGATGTTTGGGAATCTCTTAGTCATCCATTAGCTTGCTACAGGGTATTAGGCACAGCATGACCACTGCTTTCTCTGGTGGATAAGGAGACAAATCAGCAGGTCGGGGGTGTGGGGAGACATGACAGTGACCTGTGTCTGTGCCCTTTGTAGCCTTACTTGCTCCAAGAGCTGTGGGTGTTTTCTGATGATTATACAGACCAGAAATGATTTAAATGATTAAAGTGGTTTCTTTATCCCCTGGTAACTTACTTGGTCTTCCTCCATTGTGGTCAGCATTGGAATGACCTAGCCAAATTACACAACATATAAATTGTCTGATAACTGGCTTTGCTGAGGGAAAATTACTCATTTATGCAATTGAGCTTATTCAGCCCTTTTCAGATTCAATTAAGAGTTTAAAAAACAAAATCTTCTTTCTTTAGTATTTTCCACTATTCTAGAATTAGGGAGTAAGTGCCATTATGTTGTATCCATCTGGGCAGGGGGTAGAGTGAGGGGACGAACCTGATACATACATCCGCAGTATTTCTTTCAGAGGATAGTCTATTTGGTACGTTCCTGTGATTGTCTCACACTTACCTCTTCATATGTTTTTAGTGCACGAGCATAGCTGTGTCTCGGAAATGGTTGGCTTTGGGCAGTTCAGGAGGAGGACTCCATCTCATTCAGAAAGAAGGCTGGAAGCACAGGCTTTTTCTTTCACACAGGGTAAGATTAAAGGCAGCCCTGTCAAACACCATTTGGAGTCTCATAAATGTGGATTTCTCCAATGTAATCATTTGGAATAAAAGAAGATTATAAAACTTGAGATTTACAAAATATTTTTTCCTTTTGTGCTTTAGGAAGGTGCAATTTCTCAGGTTGCCTGTTGTTTACATGATGATGATTATGTTGCTGTAGCTACCAGGTAAGAAACTGTTTTAAAGCTCTGTTCTTTTCCAGATACATTTTATTTTTTTTACTTTTTATTTTTTTGAGACAGAATTTCACTGCATTGCCCAGGCTAGAGTGCTGTGGCATCAGCCTAGCTTACAGCAACCTCAAACTCCTGGGCTCAGGTGATCCTCCTGTCTCAGCCTCCCGAGTAGCTGGGACTATAGGCATGCAGCACCATGCCTGGCTAATATATATATATGTGTGTGTGTATATATATATATATATATATTTCTTTCTTTCTTTCTTTCTTTTTTTTTTTTTTTTTTTTCCACTTTTTTTTTTTTTTTTTTTTTAGTTGTCCAGCTAATTTCTTTCTATTTTTTCAGTAGAGACAGGATCTCGCTCATGCTCAGGTTGGTCTTGAACTCCTGAGCTCAAATGATCTGCCTGCTTCGGCTTCCCAGAGTGCTAGGATTACAGGCGTGAGCCACTGCACCCGGCCCCAGATGCATTTTAAATTGACAAGTGTTTGTTGGGGTGACCAACCATCCTGGTTTGCCTAGGACTGTGCCAGTTTTAGCACGGATACCCCTCAGTACCTAGCAAACCAGGGCAGGCAGTTGGTCACCCTCATATTTGTGGAAAATGCTAATTTGAGGCAACAAAATTTCAAAAGCCTTGCAAGAGAAAAGAACAGAGATAGTTTAGAATATTTAACTTCTATTATGCTGATTTGGTGACTAAGGCAAGGAAATTAAATCTTGACTTTTTACTTCCTCTTTTCAGAAGAACAAAAGTTTGCATATATTTAAATAGTTGATATTCTGATGCAATTAAATTGTACCTTTTTTTTACAATTGCCAAAAATTTGCTTCTGTGACTCAATTCTTACAGTCAAGGTCTTGTAGTTGTTTGGGAATTAAATCAAGAGCGTCGTGGGAAACCAGAACAAATTTATGTGTCTTCAGAACACAAAGGCCGAAAAGTTACAGCTCTCTGTTGGGATACAGCTATTCTTAGAGTTTTTGTAGGTGATCATGTGGGGAAAGTTTCTGCCATCAAACTCAACACTTCTAAACAAGCAAAGGTGAGAACCAGTCCAGTTCTTTGTGTATGTGGTGTTGTCTTGCAGAATTTTTAATTAAAGCTTGTGATTTTATCTACTGTATTCCTTGGGGAACTGATGGAGAGAGAACTCAGACTTGGAGACTTTGAGCAGACTTGTTTGTATGTAGTACATATGGTGGCCTGTTTTGGCTTGATACTGTTGCAGAATGGCTTCTGTGAGCTAACTTCAATAATCTGCACATTATTCCCTGATTCTACCTGCATGGCTCATTTGAACAAAGCATTCTTTAATGCAAGGCTATTAAGAAAGAAAAGACATCTTTTTATTAGTTGCATGAATAAAAAGGCAAACATAGAAATGGCACCAAGCCTAGGCTTCTGCTCTCTTCTGGTCCTTGTGTAGAAGAAACTCATGGGTCTAAGGCTATTTTCTCTCAGGATGGAGAGAAACTTACTGTGAATGGAGTCTTAAAGGCACCCCCAGTCGGTGCTCTGTTGTGCGGGTCCTCAGGCTTCCTTCCACAGTTATTGCTGGAGAGAAAGGTTGAGACTCAGGTTACTCTAACAGAATGCTCCAGTCTGTCATTGAGACACAGCAAACTAGCTTTTCACTATCACACTTTTCCAAGGCCATTATATCAGAATTGATAAGTCTCTCAGTGACTTATTTCTGGGTGGGATCCTGGCAGAAAAGAAGAGATATAACTACTGTTGGCAATAGAACTTCTTTTTAGAGACAGGGTCTCTTCTGTCACCCAGTCTGGAGTATAGTGGCCTACTCATAGCTTACTGTAACCTCAAACTACTGGGCTCAAGCGATCCTCCTGCCTAAGCCTCCCAAGTAGCTAGGGCTGTAGATGTACACCACCATGCCCAGCTAATTTTTAAATTTTTTGTGGAGACAAGGTCTTGCTATGTTGCCAGGCTCATCTCGAACTCCTTGCCTCATGTGATCCTCCTTCCTTGGCCTTCCAAAGTGCTGGGATACAGGTGTGAGTCACTGTGCCTGGCCCTAAATTACTTTATTTAAATGAGCACATCAGAATATTGTTCTGGTTTGTCCATCATGATCTATCAAAGTTATCATTTGATTCACAATTATTTTTGGTCTAAAATAAAATTGAAACCCTACACGTAGTATAGACTTAATTATCTACAGGTGATATTATCTACAGGTGAAAAATATTATCTACAGGTGAAAAATATCTACAGGTAAAGATATTATCTACAGGTGAAAAATTCTCTCATGTATTCTAAAACTTGCTTCATCTTTTTCATTCCAACCTCTATGATTAAATAATCACAAGCATAGCCTTCAGAATTCTTTTCTGCAGTTATGTACCAAATTATTTCACAAAACTTTTAAATGAGTGAAATTTTCATATCCTTACAAACATATTAAATTTTGGCCTATTTGAAAATTTTATTTTGTTATCCAAGTTATTTTCATTTAAAAGTAAAGTGGAGGAAATTATATGTTAAGATGAATAAACTTCATTTCCTTCTCACATCCTTTTTAGGCAGCTGCTGCTTTTGTGATGTTTCCTGTGCAGACAATAACAACAGTTGATTCCTGTGTTGTCCAATTAGATTATTTGGATGGAAGACTACTTATATCTTCACTTACTCGATCTTTCTTGTGTGACACTGAGAGGTATGTTGACTAACCATCAGTCATCAGAAATACAGGACTTTAGAACCAGAAGGGACTTAGACATTATCTAGCCCAAACTCCTCAGTCAAGTATAGAGATGTTACTAAGGAACCAGTCGTATGTTAGAGAGCAGAGAGCTGATGTTTGAGAGTAGAGAGGAGGTAGAGTAGACTGAACAGTCCAGTGGGTGACTAAGACAAGTATTCAGTGAACCCCCTAACATGAGTCACAATGTAAGTGCCCTGAGAGAAGGCCAAAGACCTGCTTCAATATGGGATATCAGGAAGGCTTCTTTGATTGAGTTGTTTTTTTTTTTTTTTTTTGAGACAGAGTCTCGCTTTCTTGCCTAGGCTAGAGTGAGTGCCATGGCGTCAGCCTAGCTCACAGCAACCTCAAACTCCTGGGCTCAAGCAATCCTCCTGCCTCAGCCTCCCGAGTAGCTGGGACTACAGGCACGAGCCACCATGCCCGGCTGATTTTTATATTATATATATTAGTTGGCCAATTAATTTCTTTCTATTTTTATGGTAGAGACGGGGTCTCGCTCAGGCTGGTTTTGAACTCCTGACCTTGAGCAATCCGCCCGCCTCGGCCTCCCAGAGTGCTAGGATTACAGGCGTGAGCCACCGCGCCCGGCTTTGATTGAGTTTTGTTGTTGTTGTTGAAATTTGTTTTGTATTTAATAGAATTTTACTAAAGGGTAAAATTGGATGAAGACCAGTTAAGAGCTTTGTGAAGCTAACAAATATTTCACCAAAATCTCAAGGGTGGAGCCAAAGGTACAATGAATGGAAAAGAAGTGTATTAGGAGTAGCTATGAAATACTAGAACAGGATGGGAAACAGCTTGCATTGAATATTGTGTATAACTGTACCAAAGTTCCTCAGCCATTCTCACTGCAGAGAAATTTTCACTGCTTCATTGTTTTTTTCACTGGCCTTGGCCAGCTACCATATATCTCAGGACCATTCCTTCTTTTAAAAATTTGTTGCGGAGAATTTTGAGCATACACAACAGGAGAGAGAATTGTATCAGAACCTCAGGGACCCATTTCACAGGGGAACTAGAGTTAGATGACAGAAACAGAACTTACTGCAAAAATAACATGTTTAGAAATGCCCATTCTATTACCTAGAATTCAGTTTTCAGGGACATGGATAGTAGAGTAACTTAAAAATATATTTAAGTAGAAAAAAAATATTTTTTTGTTCAACCTATGTTCCCTCCCAACAAACAGCATTTTTAACCATTAGGACACCAGGGAATTCACAGTTTTTAAAAAAACTGGGACTCTTAGTGACTAACCACAGTGATAGATATGAATTTGCTTCATATAGATGGTTTTAAGGACTAAGATAATATATATAAAAATATCTAACCTTGTGCCTGTCACATATTTCTTTGAAAATGTAGAAAGTAAGATTAATGACAGTACAAATGAGAATGAATTGACTGCATTTTTTTCACTCAGCAAACATTTACTATATTCTGGATCCTTAGCATTGTATTAGACATCATAGAGGATATAAAATAAACAAGAAATATATTTTATTTCCTGAATAAAGAGTATAAGTAAAACTATAACTTAATGTATTGCTCTGTATACATTTCAAAGCACTTTCACATCCATCTTCTTACAGTAAAGCAAATGTTATATTTTATTCATGCAGCAAATAAGTATAGGATTATTTATTGAATTATCTGAGATCATCTAGTAAATTCATGCCAGAGAGTATATTAGATCATTCTCCATTAAAGAGATTGAATTTATGGAGCACTACAGTGTATTAAGTGCTTTCTGTGGGTCAGATGCTGTGCTGTACACTGGGAATTCAACTAAAGAGGAATAGGAAATGGCCTTTGTCCTGAAGAGTCATAATCTACTCTTCAAATAGATAAAATTACTGTCTATAATACGGTAAGTGCTATGGAAGCACGGACAGGAAGCATGGAGTGCAGCATATGAAAGTCAAGGAAGTTTCTCAGAGGAAGAATGATGGAGCTAAGTCATAAAGAATAAGTAATAAGAGTTTTTAGGAAGAGACAACTTCATCATTCTTACTTTCTATTTCCCCAGGCAGTGTGCTAAGCTTTTTAATATATCTAACTCATATAATCCTAAGGGAGCAGAATGTTCAAAGGTACAGAGTTTCAGAAGGAATGACATTTTGAAGAAAGATGTTTGTGCTAAGGGAGTGGCTTGGAGACAGTGTTGGAGAGGTAGATTAGTAGCTTCCAAGGAGTATGCAAAGAATGTTTTACAAAGTGACTTGAAATGCAATCAGTAGGAGTCAAGGGTATATGAAATGGTTTGTTAGCACTTACTTTTTAGATTTGAAAGGGACCATCACATTAATTCTGAGCCACTTATTCTGTGGCTAATAAACTGAGTACTAATGTGAAATGGTTTGTTTTCTGTCACAGAAATAGCTAATGGAAAATCAGACCCAGAACCCTATTTTGGCCTTTCCATTCTATTCTTGTCAGTATATTGCTAGTATGAATGAGGGAGAAGACATTATGGGTGGGGTTATCACAGCCATGCCGATTTGTAGTGCCACTGGTTTTTACTTTTTTGTAAGTAAACATGCTTTCTCTTCTGGGTATTAGAGAAAAATTTTGGAAAATTGGAAACAAGGAAAGAGATGGAGAATATGGAGCTTGTTTCTTTCCTGAAAGATGTTATGGGGGTCAGCAACCTCTGATATACTGTGCTCGCCCTGGCTCCAGGATGTGGGAAGTGAACTTCGATGGGGAAGTTATAAGCACGCATCAGTTCAAGAAACTCCTCTCGTTGCCACCTCTCCCTGTGATTACTCTACGGTAATGATTTGTATGGCTGGTTGTGATTTTTTGAGGAACCCATATGGAAGGATTGGGTTAAAATCTCTGCTATTCTATATGTGTTAAAGATTTTATTATGCTTTTTAAGAGTAAAGTTGAATTTTTATTGAAAGATTCAGAGGAACCAAAAAGTCTTTAATTAGTTGTCTTTCCTATGATTAGAGTGAGTTGAACAAGGGCAGAAGCAGTTAGGCTCTTGAGATGGTTTTGGAGAAAAAATTTTCCAATATTGGAAGAAGTACGATTTTGTGTTGTAATTAAAACCTTAACAGATACGTTTATTTTCTAGATCAGAACCTCAGTATGATCATACAGTTGGATCCCCCCAGTCTTTGTCTTTCCCCAAACTCTTGCATCTTAGGTAAGTTTCTCCTTTTGATCCTTACAATAAATATTAAAAAATTTAAAAAAACAACAAAATAAAAAAAAACAAATTAAAATTAAAAAAACAAAAAACACTTCACTTTTTCTTTTTGTTTCTTGTTCAGTGGCAGCTAGCTTTTTAAGGTTGTTTTTGCACTAAATTATTTTTGGAAAGTTAGGAAATAACTGTGTCACATGAAATGTTCTGTATATGAGAGGAATGGAAAGATATCAGAAATATCTTCCCCCTTTTCAAAACCAATTAGAGAATTTATAATTGTTGGGGAACTTCTGAAAATTAGAGCTAAGAGCTATAGGTGCGTGTTTTCGCATAACCTTCCCTACCTGGTGGGATGTTATGATGAAAGCAAGTCCCAGACTGAAATCCACCACACAGATGTATGTTTGTTAGCCAAGTAGGCACAAAAATATTTGTAGAACTTGTTCCTTGTAAGCGTGGTGAAATTGCAGCTCTCTCCTGTTTAGGTACTCTGACAAGTACCTTGCATAAAAGATCTGCTCAAGTCAGATTCAGCCATATTCTTTTTTTTTTTTTTCCTTGAGACAGAGTCTTGCTCTGTTGCCCAGGCTAGAGTGTTGTGGCATCAACCTAGCTCTCAGCAACCTCAAACTCCTGGGCTCAAGGGGTCCTCCTGCCTCAGCCTCCTGAGTAGCTGGGTCTGTAGGCATGCACCACTATGCCTGTCTAATCTTTCTATTTTTAGTAGAGATAGGATCTTGTTCTTGTTCAGGCTGGTCTCGCGAACTCCTGACCGCAAATAATCCTCTTGCCTCAGCCTCCCAGAGTGCTAGGATTACAGGCTACACATGGCCAGCTTCAGCCATATTCTAATGTCAGAGTTCAGCTAGCCTTCTAGTTGGATTAAGTACAAAATCTACTAATAGAGTGTCATTCTAAAGGTTATCAACTGCTGGGCCTGCCAATTCTTATATCTTGTTGGGCAAAGGTTGGGGTACCAATGTATGATTTCCAGTCAGTCTATGTGTCTTAAACTCTACTTATTTCATCAATGAAAAATTATTTCTAATATCCCTTACACTAATTAATAAGGTCTCTAATGCAGATTCAGAAAGTGTTATTTAGAGGTAATTATAGGGTGCACTGGAGAATGGACTCCTGATTAGGTTCTTTCAAATGTATTTTTAGAATGTACACTTTAAAATACAAATTTTAAAATACATTTTAAAATACATTTTAGAATGTATTTTTTTAAAAAACAGTTGGCGAACTCAATCATTTGCTGAAAATAAAAAAACAACAGTTGAAATGTTAACTAATTGCCTTTAAGGGTAAGGATGAAAACTAATTTATGTATGTGTTACACTACCTATACCAAAGTATTTAAAAGTGAAATATAGACTTTATAACACTTTACTAAATCTATAATTCATCCTGAAAATTACTGGAGAAAGATAGCTATTTATTTGCCCATAATTAGATAAAACATATTAAAAACTCTTCCTCCTTTACCATTCTTCCTTTATGGCACTTATTATAGTTTATAATTGTGTCTTCAGACAATATTTATACCTGTCTTACTCCTGAACAGTGAGTTCTGTGAGGGTTTTGTGTCTGTTTTGTTCACACTGTTGTCTCAATGCTTGGCCTAGTGCCTGGCATATGATAGATATTTGGGGTTTTTTTAATAGAGACAGGATCTTGCTCTGTTGCCCAGGCTGGAGTGTAGTGGTATGATCATAGTTCACTATAACTTCAAACTCCTAGGCTCAAACGATTCTCCCACCTCAGCCTCCAGACTGGTTGTGACTGTAGGTGCATGCCACCATGCTTGGCTAATTTTTTTTTACTTTTATTTTTGTAGAGATAGGGTCTTGCTATGTTGCTCAGGCTGGTCTCGAACTCCTGGCCTCAAGCGATCCTCCTGCCTTGACATCCCAAAGTGCTGAGATTACAGGAGCAAGCCACCACACCCAGCCACATGATAGACACTTAATAAATATTTGTTGACTGTGGTGTGATGTGTTGGTATGGGGAAGTCCCTTACCTAAGAGTATGTTTTCTGATAGCTAGGCCACAGTATGCTTGGTTCTCTGGAACCAATAGTTATTCCTGAGTATAGCTATTTAAAGCTTCTGTTACAGTCCCTGCCATGGTAAACAAAGCCTTTTGTGATCTGGCTCTGCCTACTCCTCAGCTTAAGCAATAATTAATGCCACTTTGAAACCTTTGCTGACTCCTCCAGCAAGCTTAGATTAGACACTTGTTCCCATGTACTATTGTAAAACCGTATTCATTTCTCCATCATTACTACTGTCCTATATAATATTATGAATATTGGCTGGGAGCAGTAGCTCATGCCTATAATCCCAGCACTTCGGGAGGAAAGGCGAGAGGATTGCTTGAGGCCAGGAGTTAAAAACAAATCTAGGCAAAATATTGAGATCTTATCTCTACAAAAAATTGAAAAATTAGTTGGGCATGATAGCACACAACTGTGGTCCTAGCTACTTGAGAGGCTGAGGTGGGAGGATTGCTTGAGCCTAGGAATTTGAGGCTGCAGTGAGCTGTGATTCCAGCTGCATTCCAGCTTGGGTGATGAAGTGAGACCCTGTCTCTACAAAAAAAAAATGAGTTATGACAGAGAAGTATATGATTAAGTGCCATATGAGCAAGGTTGACAAGGAATAGATTGAGTGTGGGAGGAGAAGCAATTGCTATGGGCTGTGGTGGGAGGATTTCAGAAGTAGAAACTGCTAGGGAGTAGAACTGCTGATCCTTGCAAGGTGGTTAGAATGAAAACATTGCTAAGTTGAAGAATGTTTTGACCAGGGGTAAGAAGAGGATTACCAGTGGCATATAAGAAATACTAGCAGCCTTGAGATAGTAAATTATGTATTAATGTGTGTGTGTGTGTGTATGCACACATATACATATATATGTAAATGAGTATAGAAAGAGATGAGCAGAGATAGAGAGTACCGGAGGACTGGGGAGAAAGGTAGAAAACCAAGAAAGTACACTGTCCCAGAGTCCAGAGTGGGGAGGTTCAAGAAGGAAGGAACAGTCAGTAGGATTGGCTTCTGCTTGGGGTCAATCGGAAATGGGAAATGCTGAAGGGTTATTTGGTTTGGCAGTTAGGGAATGTGTGGCTTTTTGAGAATTTAGTTAAGTGGAATTGTCAGGATTCCAGACAGACAGTGGGTTAGTAAAGATAAATAAAGGAGAAAGATTCTGTGAGGTGTACAGAAAAAAAGCCCAAGTTTTGGAGCCAGAGTATCCTTGGTATAAATTCTGACTCTTTTGCATTCATGCTAAATGGCCTTGGGCATATTATTTTATTTCTCTGAGCTTTAGTTTTCTTTTTCATAAAATAAGGATAACATACCTACCTTGATGAGCTACTATAGAGTTAGAAAAATAGAGAACTTATTAAAGCTCCTGGCACATAGTTGACCAGGCATTCTCTACCTTTTCTTTTTTTTTTTTTGAGACAGAGTCTCACTTTGTTGCCCCAGCTAGAGTGAGTGCCTTGGCGTCAGCCTAGCTCACAGCAACCTCAAACTCCTGGGCTCAAGCAATCCTGCTGCCTCAGCCTCCCAAGTAGCTGGGACTACAGGCATGCACCACCATGCCTGGCTAATTTTTTCTATATATATTACTTGGCCAACTCCCAAGTAGCTGGGACTACAGGCATGCACCACCATGCCTGGCTAATTTTTTCTATATATATTACTTGGCCAATTAATTTCCTTCTATTTATAGTAGAGATGGGTCTCGCTCTTGCTCAGGCTAGTTTCGAACTCCTGCCCTCAAGCAAATCCGCCCATCTCGGCCTCCCAGAGTGCTAGGATTACAGGCCTGAGCCAATGAGCCCCGGCCCATTCTCTCCCTTTTGTCACCCCCACACAGCTAATGATGTCGGGGAAATACTGCTGTTCTTAAAAGTGGCTCACTAGAGCAGTGATTGACAGTATGGTGTTAGTCTTTGTTTTCTTTTTCTTTTTTTTTTTTTTGAGACAGAGTCTCCCTTTGTTGTCCAGGCTAGAGTGAGTGCCGTGGCGTCAGCCTAGCTCACAGCAACCTCAAACTCCTGGGCTCGAGTGATCCTTCTGCCTCAGCCTCCCGAGTAGCTGGGACTACAGGCATGTGCCACCATGCCCGGCTAATTTTTTATATATATATCAATTGGCCAATTAATTTATTTCTATTTATAGTAGAGACGGGGTCTCGCTCTTGCTCAGGCTGGTTTTGAACTCCTGACCTTGAGCAATCCGCCCGCCTCGGCCTCCCAAAGTGCTAGGATTACAGGCGTGAGCCACCACGCCCGGCCTGCCCTGAACCTTTATACCTGCTAGAAGTCTTGAACATGTCTTTGTTTTAAATGTGCCCCTGTCAAACCCATTCTACTAAGTGAGGTATCTCAAGAATGGAAAAACAAGCACCACATGTACTCACCAGCAAATTGGTATTAATGGATCAAGTGGACATATAAGAATAACATTTATTGGGTGTCAGGCAGGTGGGAGGGGGGAGGAGGGGATGGGTATATACAAACATAATGAATGAGATGTGCAATATTTGGGGGATGGTCATGTTTGAAGCTCTTACTCGAGGGGGGAGGGGGCATGGCCAATATACGTAACCTTAACATTTATACCCCCATAATATGCTGAAATAAATAAATAAATAAATGTGCCCCTGTCATATTAAGTATGGGAAATGTAACTGTTTTAACAAACATCAAGTAAGTCATCCCTAAGCTTTCTTTTTCCAGATACCAGCCTTTTCTTTTTCTAGAATATATTTAGTGTATGTGTCTAAATTTTCCTAGTTTGGCTTGATTTTATGCTATTTTTTTAGAAGGCTGTTTTTACAGACAGAAAAGTGTTAGGATTTTATTAGCTGGATTGCTATTGTGTTTTCTTTGTACAGTCTGATTTTACCTTAATAGCTAATGGGAGAATTCTGGGAATTATATCATAAACTTCTTTGTCTTAACAAACTCAAATTCTCTTGATAACTTCTACTTTTTCTTATAGTGAGCATTGTGTCCTGACTTGGACAGAGAGAGGAATTTATGTTTTTATTCCTCAGAATGTTCAAGTTCTTCTTTGGAGTGAGGTCAAAGGTAATTAAATTTTTCTTCCTTATATAATTTTTAATCTTATTATTGTGAAAGATTTAGTTATTGTAGGAGGATTCTCTTGCAATGTAAGAAGTTGAAAAATGGAATGAGGTAGCATTTCTTTTAAAGGTTGATTGTAGATGTTTCCCATTGTAGGGTACTTCCCAAACATATATTTGTAAATTTGTATTCAGCTATTTATTTTTTCATGGGTAATTTTATTTATTATTTATTTTTAATGGACATATAATTATACATATTTATGGGTACATAGTGATGTTTTGATACATATCATGTATAGTGATCAGATCAGGGTAATTAGCATATCATCTGAAATATTTATCATATCTTTGTGTTAGAAACATTCAATATCCTCTCTTCTAGCTATTTGAAAATATATGTTCAATGCACACTATCTGGGGGATGGGCACACATATAACTTTGAATCAGATGGTACAAAGGCAATTTATGTAACCAAAATGTTTGTACCTCCATAATATTCTGAAATTTAAAAAAAAGAAAATATATGCTTTTGTTAACTATAGTCATTCTACAATGCTATAGAACACTAGAACTTATTCCTCCTATCTAGCTGTAATTTTATAACCTTTTACAAATCTATCTCCTCTTTTCCCCTACCCTCCCCAGCCTCTAGTAACCTGTGTTCTACTTTTTACTTCTATGAGGTCAACTTTTTTTAGCTTCTGCATATGTGTGAGAACATGTGGTGTTTAACTTTTTGTTCTTGGCTTATTTCACTTAATACAATGTCCTCAGTTTTCATGGGTAATTTTAAATACAATTTTAATTTATTCTTAAATATTAGTAACTACTGCTAAGCAACAACTGGATTAATTTTTCTCTATGTGCCCTGAACCTTTATTTATTTATTTATTTTTTTTTGAGACAGAGTCTCACTTTGTTGCCCAGGCTAGAGTGAGTGCCGTGGCGTCAGCCTGGCTCACAGCAACCTCAATCTCTGGGACTCAGCGATCCTACTGCCTCAGCCTCCCGAGTAGCTGGGACTACAGGCATGCGCCACCATGCCCGGCTAATTTTTTTTTTTTTGTATATATATTTTTAGTTGGTCAATTAATTTATTTCTATTTTTGGTAGAGACAGGGTCTCGCTCAGGCTGGTTTCGAACTCCTGACCTTGAGCAATCCACCCGCCTCGGCCTCCCAAAGTGCTAGGATTACAGGCGTGAGCCACCACGCCCGGCCTGCCCTGAACCTTTATACCTGCTAGAAGTCTTGCTGTGACTCCCATTTTGTATCTTTAAAGTTTGGGGTTCAAAAAATCCTTGTAGAAATAATAGTCATTGTATAAAACTGAGACAGAGAAAATCAATCTCTGTATTCTTTTGGTTAATGCCAGAAATTGGAGAAATCTAGCATCTTTACCATTGATGCTCAGTAGAGAGTATATGTTGACTTTTTGAGTCTTTTTCTACTTTGTACAACCAAAAAAAGAGAAAGAAATCATTATTTACTGGTATGATCAGCATTGATTTCTTGTGGATTAAATTCTGTAAGGATATCCCTTGAAAACAAATTTTTTAAGTCCTTTCAAGAAATTCTGCTGAGATAGATATTTTCTCATGAACTGTTTATTGATTTACATACTGTGTTAAAATCCATTCATTGAGTACCAGGTTGTAACTTGCAGGATTGTTATGGTCTGGTCTCTACTATAGATTATCTTCTTTTATTAAAGTCCCTTTTTTTTTCATAGAAAATAGCATTTTAAACATAGGATTTTATCAGAGAGATATATTTCTTTCCCCACATCTTTTATTCTTGATCTTTTTAGAATATTGATTTTTTCATTGAAATGTAAGCATTATATAAAAATAAAGATGAAATTCAATCAGGCCAAACCCTACCTGAGAAGTAAATTTATTAGAATAATTTCAGCCCTTGCAAAAATGTAAAAAGAGGTATTTGGTTAACATCTTTTGTGTTCACCCCTATGGTTTTTGTAGAGATTCAGGATGTGGCCGTGTACAAGAATGAGCTGTTCTGTTTGCACCTGAATGGGAAAGTGTCGCATCTCTCACTAGTATCTGTGGAGCGCTGTGTGGAACGTCTGCTGAGGAGAGGCCTATGGAACCTGGCTGCTCGCACGTGCTGTCTTTTCCAAAATTCTGTCATTGCCAGCAGAGTGAGTCAGAGCTTACCTAGATGAGTTTATCAAGGGTTGGTAACACAACGCTAGTTTGTAGGATCGTGTTACAAAGTTGCTTGTTTTTGTTAGGCCTTTTTATATGACAGATATAGCAATAAATGCCCAGAGAAAGCATGAGAGTTATGTCCAGGGGTGGATGGAGGGTAAGCAAGAAGGTACATTTTCCATTTTTAAAAAACAGTGAATTTACCCCACAAATTTATTTGAATTTTAGAACTTGCTTTTAAGGGGGATGATTATGTGTATGGTAATTCTTAATTAAATTTTTTATTCCTAAGATAATTCTCATTAAGTCTTTCACTAGCTTCTAAGCCTTCTTAAAGCACCTTTGAAGTTTTGTGTTGTGTATTAGACCTCTTTCAATATATTGGCCATTTGAATATAGATTTAGTTACAAATAATAAGCTATTCCATTGGGTTTTTACTTATCCTTTTATCAGGCAAGAAAAACTTTGACTATAGAGAAATTGGAGCATTTGAAATCTCAGCTGGACCACGCAACATGTAGTGACCTAATTTCTCAACTAGAGGAATTGATCTTAAAATTTGAACCTTTGGATTCAGCTTGTAGCAGTAGAAGAAGCTCCATTTCATCACATGTAAGTATTCTCACTTTTATTGATTGATTGAGACAGAGTCTTACTCTGTTGCCCAGGCTAGAGTGCCATGGCATCAGCCTAACTCACAGCAACCTCAAACTCCTAGGCTCAAGTGATCCTCCTGCCTCAGCCTCCCAAGTAGCTGGGACTACAGGCATGCACCGCTGTGTCTGGTTAATTTTTTTTTTTTTTTTTTTTAGTTGTTCAGCTAATTTTCTTTTCTTCCCTTTCCCTTTCCCTTTCCCTTTCCCTCTTCCTTCCTTCCTTCCTTCCTTCTTTCTTTCTTTCTTTTTTTTCTTTTCTTTTTTAGTAGGGATGGGGTCTTGCTTTTGCTCAGGCTGGTCTCGAACTCCTGACCCTGAGCCATACTCCTGCCTCGGCCTCCCAGAGTGCTAGGATTACCACTACGCCCTATGCCTGGCCGTATTCTCACTTTTAAAAGGGTTTTGTTGTAGAATAAGATTTCTCTACTTTAGGTTGTACTCATTTACCTCTAGGATCCCAACACTTGCCCTTTCTCTGTAGATTTTTGGGGGAGGGGATTTCTTTCAGCTATCGAACAGCCATGTGAAGCCTCCATTTAGGTGTGTGTTGGAGCCACATTTTATTTTGCCATTGTTTATTATTTTCTGTGCTCAGATGTACCTCAATAGCCTCCAGCACAAGTTATGTTGTTCCTAATGCATGATTTCAGATGCTTCGTCCTAATTTGAGTCTGAGTGCAGCTCAAGGATTGTCTCATTTAATCCCCATTCTCACTGCCATGCTTTTGAAGACAAACTAGAGAGCTATGGCAACTGATGCCACTAGCACAAGCGACTAACCCAGCTGCCAGGCACTCACCAGTTTGTTCTAATAAGCCATAATTGTTGTTATTAACTTTCTACTTTAGTGTTGGCATTTCTCTGAAAAGGTTACATTGTGTTATAAAGGAAATTTTCATTCTGAGTTTTTTGGAATTCTTCTCATTTTAGGAAAGTTTCAGCATCTTGGACTCTGGTATTTATCGTATCATTAGTAGTAGAAGAGGCAGTCAGTCAGATGAAGACTCTTGCTCCCTTCACAGCCAAACCCTCTCAGAAGATGAGAGACTTAAAGAATTCACCTCACATCAGGAAGAAGAGCCACCACCAGATCAGTGTTGTGGCTCACATGGAAGCGAAGGTGATAAATATGTCTGTTGTTGGTTGCTGATGTGAAGCTGTTATTTTCTGACTCCTCCTTACAAGGATTATCTTGTGCATAGAGATTCTCTAAGGTGTTACTAATTTTTAGCATGTTGATAGACTTTCTCTCCAGGCCTGTAGGTCTGCTCACTACTAGAAGGGTGGGTTTATATTTAGTTTTCTTTCCCTCATATTTGGGCTAACACTGGTAAAGATCCTAATTTTGATCATGCATCAAACTACTGGAAAGTTTAAGAAAGATGATCATTAACCAAAAGAGTAGGAAGATTTTATCCTGACTAACCAAATTATTTTCCATCAGGAATGAAAAGTTACTTCGGTTTTGAGGGTCATTGCCTTCCCTTTTCGGTGTACGAGTATTCCTGTGACTGAACTGTTGAGAAGAGATTAATAGAGACTCTAAACTTCCTTTTTGACTTATGGGGATTCAGGGTTAGTAGGCAAATGAATGTACCTGCCTGAGTGTTTTATGTGGACCATCTTGTGCATCTTGTAAACCTGTGTTCTCATTTGTATCTGGGTCAGTTGTGATTTTGGTATTGAATCCTTCATTTCTTTCAGTTTATTCATTTCAGAATTTCCTTAAAGATTAAAAACAATCCCATGGGATTTGATTTTGTTTCTTTTTCCCCCTGATTCTACTCATTAGACAATGTTTCTCACGCTTCAGTGGTGTTTGAGACAGATAAGAATGAAACTTTTCTCCCCTTCGGCATTCCATTATCATTTCGTTCTCCTTCTCCTCTGGTGTCTCTTCAGGCTGTCAAAGAAAGGTAAACCCATTAGTCCTGTCATTTAATTCCATTTCTGATTTTACTTCAGTTGTCATGTTAGGTACTTTGTGCTGAGAATGGCAAGATATTTTAAGTGAGAAAAAGAAAGTCTCTAAGTTATTAATATTTCTCATATAACCTGTCATTAGATGTCATTTAACCTTTTAAATTTTACAGGGGCCTTATGTGAAATCTATGGTTGATTAGAGAAGTTGCTATAAATAATCTTTCTTTTTATTAAGTCCAAGTTGCCTTCCTAAGACTAATAGGAACATAGAAACTCAGGCACTGAATTTTTCATTCTTGGCAATGATAATATTGCCAAGCTGTTAACTTTGCATTTCAGCCTTAGGGAATTTAGTTTCCCCCTTTGTTTTAGTAGCTAGGCATTTGAGTTGTTACAGATGTGGCTGCCCCACCCTGACAGAGCAAAAATTTAAAAATTTGCTTTTCCCTCAACCCTAATGGGAATAGTTTCCATATATCATTAGTCATTTCTTGATCCTTTCTCAGTTTGGGCTCAGAGTTAAAGTCTTTTCATAAATTTTTCTAGCTAATCCATCGGACCAGGGCTGGCATTAGAGTTTGAGAGAGAAGATTTTGTACAGCTACTTAACTGCTTATCTGAATCTTACTAGATACAAATTTTGCTTGTTAAGAAGGGTATATTATGACTAGTTTGCAGCTGAGTTTCATGAAGAGATTCTTTGTTATTCTCTGACCAGGATGGAGCTGATGATCACATGGCTTACTTTGTCTAAGTGGACAGAAATTGTACACATACAACTAGAATTAAATAAAGACCTTTTCTTTACCACTAAATCATTGGTTTCTCTGGGCAGTTTAATAACTGAAATGAATTATTCTATTTTAAATTTTACATGGGCCTATGTGAAATCTATAGATGATTAGAGAAGTTGCTATAAACATCTTTCTTTTTATTAAGTCCCAGTTGCCTTCCTAGGGCTAATAGGAACATAGAAACTCAGGTACTGAATTTTTCATTCTTGGCAATGATAATATTTTTTTCATGTAGTTTTTTTTGGTATTTGACTTCCAGTGTTTCTAGCTTTGTGCGTAAAACTACTGAGAAGATTGGCACCCTTCACACAAGCCCTGATCCAAAAGTGAGACCAGAAGCCAGGGGTGATGAGCAGTCAAGTGAAGAGGATGTGAGTTCTGTTGCCTCCCCAAAGGAGGAAGACATCGAGTAAGCCCTTACATATAAACCTATATAAATTCTAGGGGCACCAGCTGTCAGGTTGAAAAATATCCATAGACTGTCCTGTTGGAGAAGGTACATGTATGACCCTGTTCATTGAAGATTGTTTGTTTAGCTCATAAAAATTGTGAATTCCACAGTGTTGAAAAGTTACATCAACTTGTAGCAAATCTGTTGAGACCGAGATTTAATTTAGCACTTTTCCATCTTTCCCCTGCACTACTCCCTTCCCTCTCCAGTAATCTCTTCAACCTTCTGAGTTGTCAGAGTAATATTAGATTAAGAGTGGGATGACCAAGGACCTAGGCATTGTCCTGGCTCTGCTTCTGACTAGCATATGGTCTTGGGTAAGTCACGAATGTTCTCTGGCCTGTAAGATCCAGGATGTGCTGTTGCTTGATGAGTTAATAAAGGGAATATTAGATGAAGACAATGAAAAAGAAAAAAGGGGACTCATTAGGTAATGAAGAAACTATTGATTAAACAGCTGGCATAGAAGTCATGTCAGTACCTTCCTGTGATATGCTGGTGGCAGTAGAGTTGTAGCAGAGCCTTGGGTCTAGCATAGTGCAAAGTATCTTGTTTGGTTTCTGCCTTATCTTATAGTTCAGGGGATCTGGGCATTAAAGGCAAGCAGCACTCATCCAGGAATTGAGAGTATGAGACCCTTGGGCCCAGTGTATCTGGGCAGTCAGATGAGATAAAAGGTGTGTAATCTTCAGAATAACTTAGTGAATCCATATGTTAAAAAAAAAAGTACAGGTTTTTTTGACATGACATTTAAGGCAGCCCTCAGCCTGCCCTTAACTACTTCTCTTTCTAGCCTCATTTCCAAGCACATCCTTCTAAGCACTCTAAATTCCAGTCCTGTCAGAGAACTGGGTGTGTGCTCTGATACCTCACTACCTTTCTTCATGCTGTGTCTTCCACTTAGAAGACTCTTCCACCATTTTTTGTAACACAAATGCTACCTCCTCAGGAATGCTTCCCTTGATTGCCTCGTCAGAATAATTATTTCTTTTCTGCTTTCATATCACAATGTGCTTTAAAATGCTGCTGTTTTAGTATTCAGTTTATTCTTTTTATATTATAGTTAGGTGTTTGCATGCCTTTCTTTCTCACTAGAGATTATTCTGATTTGAGCTTACTCATGTTGAGGCCACATACCACTTTTTATACTCTGTTCGTCTCATGTAACATGAAGTACAATACTTGCCACTCACTAAACACTTAAAAATATTTGTCTAAAAAAGTTGTGATCCTCTTTGACTCTTGTGAGTGAATATTATTATGTTTTATGCTTTTCTAGGGAGAAAAAAGAGGTAACTAGTCAACCTCCAGAAGAAGACATACTCCAGGAACTTAAAGTAGCAACAACAGAAGCAATGTGAGTATGAATGAGAAAGTTTTAGAGGGAATGGAAATGACTTTCTGAGATCATCAGTAATGGTGGAGAAATGGTCTGGGCCAGAGGTAGCTTTATTTGGAATTGAAATTCAAGAATTAGTAAAATACTACAAAGTAAATGTTCTCTGTTTTGTCATCTTGCTGAGATAAATGTAATAAAGAATTGAAAAGTAACATTTATTCTAGATAAGTATGTTGTATCAATTAATTTGTTTAAAAAAAAGACATGAAACATAAATTTTATACTTATCTGTCTTCTATAGGACCAAGTTACAGGACCCCCTGGTTTTATTTGAACCCAAGTCTCTGAGAATGGTTTTACAGGAGTGGCTTTCACAGTTAGAACAGACATTTGCCATGAAGGACTTTTCAGGCATTTCAGATGCTGGCAGTTCATCCATGAAATCGAACCAGGATGTGCTATTGCTTAATGAGTTAAAAAAGGGAATATTAGATGAAGACAACGAAAAAGAAGAAAGGAACTCCTTAGGGGGTGAAGAAACTATTGACCAAACAGCATGTGAATCTCTAAGTAGTTCGAGGGAGCCCTCAGATGACCTTTTTCAAGTATGTTCTCCATGCACCATAGCAAAGGATCTTCAGAGCGACCTGGCTGAATTGACAACATTGTGTTTGGAATTGAATGTATTGACTTCTAAGATCAAAAGTACAAGTGGACATGTGGACTATACTTTGCAACAGTGCTCTCCTGAAATTCCAGCCTGTCAGTTCCTGAAGAAGTACTTTTTTCTCCTGGACTTGAAAAGAGCAAAGGAGAGTATCAAGCTTAGTTACCCTAACAGCCCTTCTGTTTGGGATACTTTTATTGAAGGATTGAAAGGTAATAATCAGACTGCCTTTTCAAAGATAGAAATTGGTCTCCAGATAAAGGGACAGTTAGAAAGAAAAAAAAAGAAAAGAAATTGTAGAGGGTAGTAGCATTTTGAGATTTTGGGGTTTAAAGAAAAGATTTAAGTACAAAATCACCTCTGTTCTGGTCAGTCCTCCATTCTATTTTCCATTCATTTAAAGTTTTTGTAATTCTTCAAACATTGGTTTAATTTACAACCGTATTATAAGAAATTAGTTTTATTTCTCTCACAGTCACATTCAGAAAACAATATAGCAGTGTTGGAGAAGTTAGTGTTAAAGTGAAATGTGTATAAATGCAGATATATAAAAATAAGGAAATTCCTCATGTAACTTACTGATATAGAAATAATATGCCATATACCATATATTGAGTATTTAGTGTGTATGAGATATTATGGTAAACCCCTCAGCATTATCTTATTTCATCCTTACACCAATCTTTAGAGTAGGTGTTGTCATTCCATTTTACAGAGAAAGAAATGAGGCACAGAGGGATAATAGTTGAGTAGGCTAAACTGCTATAATAAATATCTCATAATGTAATAACTCAGACATAATAGAAGTTTATTGTTCATAAAACAGTCTAGGACAGGTGTTCAGGTCAATGGGCAGCTCTATTCTATGTTGAAATTCAACATTCCAAATTCCTTCTATTATTTTAAGCTCTAACACCCATTACGTCTTGGGGTTGAGGTTGTGTTTCTGTGTCCAGAGGAAGGCATATGGAACATGCTCTCTTATAGGCCTGTCCTGGTAGTGACTTACATCTCTTCTGTTTACCTTCTGTTGGTGAGAATTCTATCACATGGCCCTAACTAACTGCAGATATACTGGGAAATGTAACCTGTCTAGCTGTCCAGGAGGAAGAGAATGAATATGGGTGGAGCTTGCATGTCTGCCTCTGAGACTTCGGTACACAGCCAGCAGTGTCTACCTCAGATTTTACTGAAGGTCGCACTATTTGTCATCCTGATATAGAAACCAACTCTCATACCCTAAAGACCATGCACTGTCCTTTCTACATTATAGTCTCTATATTTTGAAGCAATTAATTTTCCTAATTCAGAATTCTGCTTGAATAACAGAAGCCATGTTTCTAATAATTTGTTTAGACTTTAAGCAAACTTTTCATTTATAACAAAAAGTGAGTAACCACAGATACAGTGCATTTTCATATTATTTGACTTAAAGATCTTTTTGCTTTTTAAAAACATGGATCTATAGTTATAGATATGCTTTAATTCACATAAAGCAGTTAAAAGCATAAGAAATGATTTTAGGTTTTTTCCCCCTGAGTTGAGGTAGATTGTTTTTTATGTGAAATAAGAAGCAAGTTATTTCTCTTCAAATAGGTTCAAATGTGTGACATTATTACTTATTAGAAATTTTGCTGTCTCTGTTATGTGATCATATCCAACCCTGGTCACAGGAGAATAGCAGAAAAGGTCTCCATCAGCCAGAATGGTGGTGGTTGTTACCAGTGTTGGCTAGAACAAGCATGGTAGTCAATTTGAGATGATGTAGCTGGTTACTTAAATTTAAGTGGATAAGTTTGGGTTATCTTCCACCCAATCATAATGATTTTCCTTACTTCTCCAGCTCTAAATGATGGCCTTCTCTGAATTCTTTTAGGTACTTATTGCTTGACACTATCAAATGGGAAACATTTGATTGGGGAAAAAAGGACTTTTTTTTTCTTTTAAGAGACAAAGTCTCTCCCTGTCACCCAGGCTGGAGTGCAGTGGCACAATCCATAGCTCACTGTAACCTTCAACTTCTGGGCTCAAGGGATTCTCCTGCCTCATATCCCACTCCCAGCCCCCCAGTATAGAATCAGGTATGTGCCACCACACCCGACTAATTTTTTTTTAGAGACATGGGTCTGGCTATGTTGCCCAGGCTGGTCTTGAATTCCTGACCTCAAGTGATCCTCCTGCCTTGACTGCCCAAAATGCTGGAATTACAGGTGTCAGCCACCTCACCTGGCCAACTTTTTTTTTTTAAACAGATATATCATAAAGTAATAGTTGGCTCTTTAGAATCTGTTGAATAGGCCCCTGCCCCTTCTAATGAAGTTTTAATTGTGAAAAACAGTTTTTGGAACTGTTCTTGGTTTTCTCAAAGCCAGTAAACTACTAAAACTACTTACTTTTTTTTTTTTTGAAGAAGTCACTTGTGCCGCTAGAGTTCATTTGTTGCCCAGTGGCGTAGGGAGGAGGCTGCATCAGCCTAGTCACAGAACAATGCTCTTGGCTGCGATCCTGCGCCTCGCCTCCTGTAGCGGGAACATACAGATGCGCCACATCCGTAATTTTCTATTATGAATTAGTTGCCATAATTCTTCATTTAAGTAGAGACGGGGTCTTGCTCTTGCTCAGGCTGGTTTTGAACTCCTGACCTCGAGCAATCCGCCTGCCTCGGCCTCCCAGAGAGCTAGGATTACAGGTGTGAGCTACCGCGCCCGGCCTCACTTTATTTTAGATCTATATCTTTTATAAAAAAAAACACCCCCACACACAAATAGTTTTAACCAGATCATCACTCACTTCATTCACCAGACTTGGTTTTAAATTACTTTTGGCTATTCCCAAAAGTCACATCTTCCATCAGAGGATGAATATTTGCTATACTGATATTTTTAAAAACATTTTAAAAACAAATATTTAAAAATTAATTTTATTGAATTTAATTAACTTAATTCTAAAAGATGGAGCAGGGTATTAGTTCTAGAAAAAATTGAGCAATTTGGCATTGATGGTAGATCTTTATAGTTTGTGATATATATATATATATATGTATATATATATATATATATATATAGTGACAGTAGCTATATATAGCCCCAGATACTCATTATTTTAAGGGTAATGATCACTGATATATTAGTTATTTGTTCCTTTGTCTTGTTGGTTTTGACTAATGATTGAGGAATGAATATGTTCATGAATTGAATATTTACAGCTAAGAGATGAAGGGAGAGTTATGCTTTATATTTCAGAGATGGCAAGTTCCAATCCTACATATATGGAGATGGAAGAAGGAGACCTACCAACAAGATTGAAGTTATTAGATGATTCAGTTCCTTTTGATAGTCCTTTGTTGATTGCTTATGCTACCCGGTAGGTTGTCTTATATGCTGTTTATATGAACTAAAAGCACGTCCATTTTTTTATGTCATTGTCTCTAAAGTTTTTTTTTTTTTTTGAGACAGAGTCTCGCTTTGTTGCCCAGGCCAGAGTGAGTGCTGTGGTGTCAGCCTAGCTCACAGCAACCTCAATCTCCTGGGCTCAAGCAATCCTGCTGCCTAAGCCTCCCGAGTAGCTGGGACTACAGGCATGTGCCACCATGCCTGGCTAATTTTTTCTATATATTTTTAGTTGGCCAATTAATTTCTTTCTATTTATAGTAGAGATGGGATCTCGCTCTTGCTCAGGCTGGTTTCAAACTCCTGACCTTGAGCAATCTGCCCGCCTCAGCCTCCCAGAGTGCTAGGATCAGAGGCGTGAGCCACCGCCCCTGCCTGTCTCTAAAGTTTTACTCATTTGCATTCAAGAAGCCTCTTGTTAGTATTTCTTTTTTTCTTTTTTTTTTTTTTTGAGACAGAGTCTCGCTTGTTGCCCAGGCTAGAGTGAGTGCCGTGGCGTCAGCCTAGCTCACAGCAACCTCAAACTCCTGGGCTCAAGCAATCCTGCTGCCTCAGCCTCCCGAGTAGCTGGACTACAGGCATGCGCCACCATGCCCGGCTAATTTTATATATATATTAGTTGGCCAATTAATTTCTTTCTATTTATAGTAGAGACGGGGTCTTGCTCTTGCTCAGGCTGGTTTCGAACTCCTGACCTCGAGCAATCCGCCCGCCTCAGCCTCCCAGAGTGCTAGGATTACAGGCGTGAGCCACGTGCCCCACGCTTAGTACTTAATGTAACCAAGTTATATTATCTCCCTGAAGTTGGAGACTAAAGTGTTTTGTTTTTAAATGCAGGTTGTATGAGAAATTTGGAGAATCTGCCCTTCGATCCTTAATAAGGTTTTATCCATACATTCTGCCATCAGATATCATGCAACTTTGTCATCATCATCCTGCTCAGTTTTTGGCCTATTTAGACAGTCTGGTGAAATCAAGGCCTGAAGATCAGCGGTGAGGAGAGCATATTTACAGGCTTTACTTTCTTTTGATAAGGCATTGTTTCTCTTTTATAAGCAAGTGTAACATTTGTACTGTTAATTAACACAGAGTTGAGGCACCTACTATGGAAGATGAGAGTTTTGGCAGTCTTCTACCAATCTGCCACACTTAGAGCACACGTCACAAATGTGCACTTACCACACTTCTTTCCCCCCACCCTCAACCCCAGGGATTCTCAGATCATCAGTGTAAAATTAAACTCTTCATTCAGAGCCTAGGCTAAGACAGATAAGCGTCTTGTCTCTGTTGGTGAGTAGATTCACTGCCACCTTTTTATTAATATTCCAGCCTTTGGTGCTTTTTGTGAGTGGATCTCAGTTCCAGTTCTTCTCTTTTTTTGTTGATGTCTCATTTCCTATCTCCTCATGGCTGTAAACAACTGTGTTTCTCGGTTATTAGACTGGCAACTTCCTCCTTTCTTTCTTCCTCTGATTGGTTCACATTTCCAAAATGGTTTGATTTCTCCTTTTATTTTTTTGTCCTTTTCCCTGTTGTCTTGGAGCTCAGTTATTCATTTAGAAGACTATTAAAATTTCACCAGCATTTCTAGACATTTTGTGGCAGAAGAGTTTTCAAATTATTTCATCTACTGTATTGATCTCTTAACCGAATTTTCTTCACACCCCCACATTTTTTGTTTCTTTCTCACTGTGAAGATTGGTGATTTTTCTCCCCAACTTTCTCTAGGTCATCTTTCCTTGAGTCCCTTCTACAACCAGAGTCTTTAAGATTGGATTGGCTACTTTTAGCAGTGTCCCATGATGTTCCACCAAGCACAAGCACTATGGATGATGAAGGTTACCCTAGGTATGGAAGGAGTCTTCTATCAAAGGATTAAGTTCCCACGTTACTTTGGAACTGATTTATTCCCATATAGCATTCTGGGCTCACTTTAGGAGCAGCTGTGAAAGAGGCTGACCCAAGTCATGGTAGTAATGAGATTAAATGTACATCTTAGAGGTTCTGAACATTTTTTGGGTCACAGACCCTGCAAGAAATTGATGATTCCTTTCAGAAAAATGTACATTTGTGCAAAATTTTGCACATGACTTCAGAGAATTAAACTGATCCCCTGTAGCTCTTTCATGGATCCACATTAAGAGCCCTTAATGATTAAACCTGTGTTAGAGGAAGAAAATTGTGTTTGTCTGTGTGTCTGTCTTCCTGAAACTTTGTCAAGGGATTTCAGACATAATCTGATTTAGGATGTTTTTTGAAAATAAATTTCACCAAAAAGTACACACTGATACTTGTAATGTATGAGAAATATTCCTTGTGTTTTCTTTCAGGAGAAGCTTTTTAAAAGCCCCCAAAATGTCTATCTTATATGTCTAGGCAAAAAGTCTGGCAAGATATGCAATGGCTATCTGTGAGTGATGGAATTATGGGCTTTTTTCTTTTGCTTTTGATTAGCTAAAATATCTATTTTTAAAAAGTGAACAGTTTGTAGGAAAAGTAGCTATTTTTAAATTTCTTTTTCTAAGTTTTTTCTTTTTCTTTTTCTTTTTTTTGAGATGTAATCTCACTCTGTCACCTGACCTAGAGGGTTGTAGTGTCAGCCTAGCTTATTGCAACCTCAAAGTCCTGGGCTGAAGCGACTCCTTCAGCGACTCTCCTGCTCGCGCGTCCCGAGTAGCTGGGATTACAAGCGCACACCACCACGTCTGGCTAGTTTTCTTGTTTTTAATAGAGACAGAGTGCCACTCTTGCTCAGGTTGGTCTCGAACTCCTGACCTCAAGGTGTCCTCCCCCCTGGGCCTCCCAGAGTGCTAGGATTATAGGCATCAGCCACTGTGCCCAGCCTATTTTTAATTTTCAAAAGCCAAACAGAAATGTTTAAAAAATATAATAATGGAAAGTAATTAAACTCTATTCTTACTTTTAATGACTATAACACATTTATAAGTTATTTCTATCCGCATTTACTGATTTTTTTTTTTTTAAGAAACAGGGTCTTACTCTATTGCCCAGGCTGAAGTACAGTGTTTTCGATCCCACTAATCTCCCAATCTCAATCGCATCTCCTGCCTCAGCTCCAGAGTAGCTGAACTCAGGCATGCATCATCACACCTGGCTAATTTTTAATTTTTTTTTATAAAGATGGAGGTCTTGCTGTGTTGCCCAGGCTGGACTCAACTCTGGCTCGAAGCAGTCCTCCCACTTTGACCTCTCAAGAGTGCTAGGATTACAGGGTGAACCACCACACCTGGCCTACTGATGTTCTTTCATTTCACAGGCCTCATTCACATTTGCTTTCCTGGGGTTATAGTCAGCTGATCCTTCATCTAATTAAACTTCCCGCAGATTTTACAACCAAAGAGAAAATGACTGACATCTGTAGGTCTTGTGGGTAAGTGAAGATTTTCTTAGAAGCTAAGTTAAGATTAGAATCATTTCAGTTAATAACCTTATAGTTAAGAGCCTGAACTAATTAGTATGCATTATCATTTGGGAATTCTGTTTGCTATGTAAAAGTAAACATAAAGTAAACATCTTTTTGTTTTAATGATAGTATTTAAGCATCTTTTCCCTTTTACATTTTGTGCATGTTTCCTTGCTAATTCCTCTCCAATCCCCCTACTTAGTTGCTAGCCCCAGTTCTCAGGCATGTAGTATTTAAGTAAGCACCAAATTGTGTAATACCAGTTGTAATTGATACAGGATTTCCAAGAAGGGAACCATCAGGATGGGTTCGATAGAATCTCTGGTGATGGACTCAGGGAGGATGTGAGACTTTGGAGGTGAACCCTGAAACCTGGGTATGATTTATATTTGTAAAGGAGCCAGGAAGAGGGTAGGTTAGGTGAGAGAAACAGTAAGAGCAAGGGCATGGAAAACTGACATTGCTTATTGTCCACATCATATATTAGTCAGTTATTTATTGCCTGGTGACATTGCCTTATGACTCCACCTGGAGTATAATCTTTTGCAGATAGTGACCTGTGTCTTTCTTTTCCCTCATAGTATCTAATTCAGATGATGGTAGTTACTTGATACATATTTGTTCATCGATAGTGAGGGATGAGAGTGGCCAAGTGGTGAGTGACAAGATCATATAGGTCCTTGGAATCTGGTTAGAAGAATTTAGTTATCAAGACTCTTGTAGACATTTTGCTACAAAAATTACATAATGAAAGGGAGCTTTCTGGAGATCATTTCTGGTGTCACGCATGAGAAGGATTGGAGACTGGAAGACCAACTGGGAAGCTGTTGCAGTCATTGAGATATGAGGGGATTGGTGATTAGCAGGGCAGCAAAAGGAGCCCACCCAAGGGACGTTTCAAAGGAAAATGCAGTGGGGCTTCTTAATACTGGATATAGGAAATGAAGGAGGGGGAAGTATCAAGGGGAACTTCTAAGGTTTATATATTAAGAAGAGAAATATGCTAACTTTGTATTAAATCTTAAAGTTTATAAAGTGTGTAAAGCTTAAATGTCTTGTAATTGGTATTTGGCCTCAAATGTCAATATTTATTGCTAGCTTTTTTTTTTTTTGAAACAGTCTTACTCTAGCACCCTGACTTGGAGTACAGTGGTGTCATCATAGCTCACTGTGACCTCAAACTCCTGGGCTTAAGAGATCCTCCTGCTTTGGCCTCCCAGAGTGCTAGGATTATAGGCATGAGCCACCATGCTTCACCTATTGCTAGCTTTCATGTTTTTCTTAAACACTCTAGATCAGGATTATCTAATAGACTTTGTGATAATAGAAATGTTCTACTGAACTAACCAATATGGCAGCCACTAGCCACATGTGGTCATGGAGCACTTGGAATGTGGAGAGGTCAACTGAAAAACTGACTTTTACATTTTATTTGATTACATTTTAATTTAAATTTAAGTAGCCACATGTGACTAGTTACTACTATATTGGACAATGTGGCCCCAGATAAATTCACTGACTTTTATTCCTTTCTTCAATTTTGGTTTCTTTAAAGTTTCTGGCCTGGATATCTTACTCTCTGTTTGGAGCTGGAGAGGAGAAGAGAGGCCTTCACCAACATTGTGTATCTGAATGATATGAGCCTGATGGAAGGGAACAATGGTAGGTAAATCCCAGCTAGCTACTCTTGTTGTAGTTTTTTAGAAGTCATTCCAGTCTTTTCAATAAGAAATTTGGTGAACATTTCAATAATCATGTATATAATTCTAGCTAGTGGTCAAATTTGTGGAATTTTTTGATCTGTACCCTTTGGCATGTTATGAAATCATAATTAGGAATAAACTACAGGCAACTTTTCTGTTTAATGAGTACCTACAATGTGTTAGGCACATTGTGCTTTCCATATGCTTTTTTATCTATTTATTTATTTTTACCTCCTCTTACTATCATTCCCAATCATATGCTGTTTTAAATGAGATAACAAACTCTTGGGTAGTAACTATTATTTCTACTTTCCAGATGTCATAACTGAAAAGAACAATTAATTGGCCCAGAGTCACACAACTAGTAAATGTCGGAGCTGGTGTTCAGACCCAGGCTTATCTCCACAACCTGTGCTAAGGTTCTTTGACTGTGTCATGTTGCCTTGTTACATAATCAAAAGTTAGAACTCATAGCCAGGCTCAGTGGCAGGTGCCTATAGTCCCAGCTACCTGAGAGTCTGAGGCCGAAGTTTGCTTGAGCCCAGGAGTTCTGAGTCCAGCCTAGGTAACACAGACACCGTCTTTAAAAAAAAAAGTTAGAGCTCATTAAGATGGAACTTAAATTAGAATAGCAATCAGACTCCTAAAGCCTTCACAGGTATTTGAATACTTAAAAAATTTTTTTTGTTTTATCAATCCAACACAAATAAAATATAATCATAAGGTCAGGACATTGACATGGTGATATCTGAAGTCTGAGAGGCCAGCCTGCACTCAGAGAGGTGTCTTAGTCTGTGTTGTAGTGCTGCTATATTCATCTCAGTACAGAGATGCCAACGCATGACGTCAGGATCCTTCACCCCCCCAGCAGAAGGACCTAGGATTCTTCACTACAGTTTTTATAAAGCTCTGTAGGTGTGGGAGAGGGAAAGTCAGAACAGAACGAAGAAGCCAGTTGACTGGCTAGTGTTAGCTTCAGATGTCACAGCTGTAACTATAATTACTGAGATCATTTTTGTTTTTAAGAAATTAAACAAGAGGGCCCCATGTAGTTTCATAGAACTAGAACTATACATGTACTTCTGAAAAATACCCAGAAAAGATATAAATGGTTTATGTTTTAAAGTTATAACATGAGGCCGGGCGCGGTGGCTCATGCCTGTAATCCTAGCTCTCTAGGAGGCCAAGGCGAGCGGATTGCTCGAGGTCAGGAGTTCGAAACCAGCCTGAGCAAGATCGAGACCCTGTCACTACTAAAAATAAAAAAAGAAATTAATTGGCCAGCTAATATATATAGAAACAATTAGCCGGGCATGGTGGCGCGTGCCTGTAGTCCCAGCTACTCGGGAGGCTGAGGCAGGAGGATTGCTTGAGCCCAGGAGTTTGAGGTTGCTGTGAGCCAGGCTGATGCCACAGCACTCACTCTAGCCTGGGCAACAAAGCGAGACTCTGTCTCAAAAAAAATAAATAAAGTTATAACATGATATGTTTGTTATAGGAAAAAATTGAATATTCAGGAAGTATAAAGAAAATAAATATCACCTAAAATCCTTCCCACCCAGATAAAACTACTCTTAATATTTTGTTACTAAAATAATAATGGTAATGATAAGAGTTATTCTTACTATTGGTGTGTTAAATGGGGTCTTTTTTTGACACTTCTCATGCTTCGTGATGCATGTCAATCACTGTCCAAGGCGTGTTGATTTACAGCCAAATATCTATCTGCTTTCATTTACTTCTCTGTCACTCTGACCCTTACTACTTGCCTAGGCTACTGCAATAACCTCATAACTGGTCATCTGGCTTCCAGTCTTGCCTACCTTTAATCCATTTTCCTTACAGCAGCCAGAATGATTCTTTCAAACAAAAATTGGATTATGTGACTTCCCTCCTAGAAACCCCTTGCATTGAACTCAGAATAAAATCCCAATTCTTATGCTGGTGCACAAGGCCTGGCCTCATTACTAGTCCTCTGTTCACTGCTTTTAATAAATTCCTTGACCGTATCAAGTTCTTTCCTGTGTCTTTTGTCTTACATGTTTCCTTTGTCAGAAATATAGGCCCCTTCACCCTCCATTCCTGATACCCCCTGCTCCAAGTTTGCATATTACATAGGCCACGTGCACATACCCCCTAAGCTTGTCTCATTATTCTGCTTTCTGTTTAAATGTCACTTTCTCATAGAGCCCTTCTCTCTAATTGTTCTTTATTGTTTTCCTTCAGAGTGCCTAGCACAGTTCATAAGTATATATTTATTTATGTGTTTAAGTTCTCTCTTTTACTAGACTGCAAGCTCCACAAGAGTGCAAGGTCTGTGTCTGTTTTGTTCATCTTACATGTCCAGTACCTAGCATAGAGTATGCCATGAGTAATAATTACTTAATGAGTGGTTGACAGAATTTTGAAGCTAACTTTGTGGCTTCTCTTTATCATGAACTATTTATGCAACAAAATTTCAGAAAACAGCTTTGTGTTACGATGATGAGATTATATTCTTGAATATTTTTATTTTTAGTATGAGACATATTCACAAACAGTTTTGACTATCTCCTGTATGCAGGCAGTGTGCTAAGAGTGGTCAGAACCAATGTCATTTCTCTGTGTGTGTGTGTAGGTTGGATTCCAGAGACCGTGGAGGAATGGAAGCTTCTCCTACATCTCATACAGAACAAGAACACAAGGCCAGCCCCCCAGGTGTCACTAAATGGGAACCTCAATGATGGACCTTCCCCCATAAATGTGGAGAATGTGGCACTCCTGCTCGCTAAGGCCATGGGCCCAGATCGGGCCTGGTCACTGCTACAGGAATGTGGTCTGGCCCTTGAGTTGTCAGAGAAGTTTACCAGAACCTGTGATGTCCTGAGGATTGCAGAGAAAAGGCAGAGGTAATACCAGTTTGTTGTGCCCTCTCCGTGGTGCTTGGAAAAGGTAGACCCCCACCTCCCCCCAGACTTTCAGAGGTAGATACAGACACCATTGCAATCCTGACCCCTCACTCACATGAGGAGACTGAGACTGATCTGGTGATTAAGGGAAGTGGCTAAAGTAATATTTCATCACAGTCATGAACAAAGACACTCTTTGGATTAATGTGACTACCCAAATCTGATGTATTCTTGATTCTTGGAAAAGATTATTGTTACCAGAAACATAATCGTCTCAGTCAAGTTTTTTGTTTCACTTGTGGTGTAATACACATAACATAAAATTCCTCATGTTAACTGTTTTTAAGTGTTGAGTTTTGGGGGGGTACAAAGCACATTCACATTGTTGTGCATCCAGCCTCCAGAACTTTTTCACCTTGCAAAACTGAAACTCCATCCCCATTAAACAGCAACTCCTCGTTCCCCCTGCTCACAGCCCCTGCCAACCAGCATTCTACTTTCTGCTTCATGAATTTGCTATTCTGAATACCTCATCTGAGTAGATCATACCAGTGTTTGTCTTTCTGTGACTGGCTTATTTCACTTAGCATGATGTCCTTAAGGTTCATCCATCTTGGACATTGTGTCAAGATTTGTTCTTTAAGTTTGAATAATACTCCATTGTATGTGTATGCCACATTTTGTTTATCCACTCATCTGCTGATGGGCACTTGGGTTGCTTTCACTTCTTGGATGATGTGAATAATGCTGCCTTGAACATGAGTGTATGAATATCTTTGAGATCTTGCTTTCAATTCTTTTGTGTATATACCCAGAAGTGGAATTGCTGAATCATATGGGATTTTATTTTTAATTTTTTGAGGAACCACCATACTGTTTGTCAGAGAGACTGCACCATTTTACATTCCTGCCAGGAGGGCACAGGGGTTCCAGTTTCTCTAAGTCCTAGCTAACACCTGTTATCCTGTTATTTTCTGGGTTTTTTTTGTTTGTTTGTTTGTTTTTGTTTTCTATAGTAGCTATCCTAATGAGTGTGAGGTAATATCTCATTGTGGTTTTGGTTTGCATTTTTCTAATGCATAGTGATGTTGAGCATCTTTTCATATGATTATTGGTCATTTGTATATCATCTTTGGAGAAATACCTATTCAAATCCTTTGCCTATTTTTAAATCAGGCTGTTTGACATTTTTGTTCCTGAGGAAGTTCTCTCATATTCTAGATATTAACCACTTATCAGCTATAGGATTTGCAAATATTTTCTTCCATTCCATAGGTTGCCTTTTCATTCTGTTGATTTTGTCTTTTGATGCACAGAATCAGTCAACTTTTTGAAGCCTCTAAGTCTCATAGATTTTAAAATTTTCTGTGAATAATGAACAATGACAACTAAATTCACTTCTTTTCTTTGGGATTTCAGAGCCTTGATACAAAGCATGCTTGAAAAATGTGATCGGTTTCTCTGGTCTCAGCAGGCCTAGTGGAAGAAGATTCAGCAGGATGTCATGACATTTTGAGAAAAACTGAATCATGCTCCTGAACCTTCTGAATGCAATAGTTATTGAGGAAAGGCACCACCCCCAAATACAGCCACCTTTCTGGGGCTACTTTTGTCAGTATCTGTAACCTTGGCATTTGTGGCTCTATGTGACCTCAGCGTTTCTCAACCACAGTTGGATTTTGAAAACAGTCCATGTTTGCTGGAATCAGAACATGAATGTGCACAGCTATGTAGTCTGATTGGGAACTTCAGTATTACTTGCGTGTCGCTAGTGGATCACGGGGAATTCTTGTCCTACTGTAGCTCCCTAGTTGGAAGCAGAAGCTTCTCATCCTGCTCCCATGAATACAAGGTTATTGTTTGGAGGTGAATTGATGTACATCTTGTCAGAGGCAGTATAGAAATTACTGAAATAATGTACCTGAATAATGGAATTAACACAGAAGTTAATATGTAAAACATTGAAGATCCAAATTAGATATTTAAATACAATGGCCCCATATCTGCATTAAGGTAATTTAAAATATTTTTTTCCTGTATTTATTTGATATTTTCTAATCTGAACCTATGTATAACTGATTAATTAATTATTAAAAATGTATTTCTAACTTTTTCTAAACAGAGAAGCCCAAAAGAATCATGCACTTTTCAAAATTATCTTTAAAAGCCATAATAAAAGAAAGCTGAGTACTAATAAAGACTGCAGAAGCATTTGTTTTATTTAAGCTGTATAACTAGACTGTCATTTATCAGGCTCCTGCGCATTCACGTAGCATGTTATAATAAACGTGAAGTATAGTATGAGTAAAGTTTTCATTTGAACAGAATATACGCTGGAGGTTTATTGTGATCAATTTGCAGGAAGGTGTGGAGTAAGTAAAGTGTTGGACATTGAACAGTTCAACTCGTTTTTGCATTTATCACACAACCAGAGAACATAGGCACAAATTGCTGTCATACTTATGCATGACACCTAGCTAAGACCTGACCAGATGGGTTGAAGAGGCCGTCAGGGAAAGGAGGCTTCACAAAGCTGGCTAGAATTTGGGGAGGTGTGGAAAACCTTCCCACTGGCATCAGCTGTGTGGCTTTGGCTGTGCTGGATTATATTGAGGTAAAGAAAGGATGAGAGCCGCCCTTCACTGTCAGCTTCTGTCATTACACCGTGACTAGAAGAGGACCCAGAGGAAATCCCATGGCAAGCAGACGGCATGAACTGGCAGGATTGTGTAATCATTTCCTGAGAGACCTTCCCAGGGCACATTGCAGCAATGCTCATTTGCCAAAAGGGTGCAGAGAGAAATTTCTAGCATAACCAACAAAAACAAATCACTCACCTGAATTTATTTTCCAGGGCAAACAAACAAAAGTCCCCTTCAGGGGAAAATTTAAATTTGGATAGTCCATTAGGGTATTAGGCAGTGTTTTTAAATATAACTTGTATCTTTCAATTGCCACAAAGTTCTAGACAGACTGATTCATGGTTGCTTCACTTTTACATTTGTTTTAGGATCTGACTGCTGTTCAACACTACAGGACAGCATAGGGCTAAGAGCTTGTGTTTTGAGGCAGTCTGGTGGGTTTGAATATCTGCTCTTTTGCTAAGTGAGCTTGGGAAGTTAGTTTGTTTCTCTGAGTTTTAAGGGGCTTTTTTAGTTTGTTTTTTGATTTTTGTAGAGACTGGGTCTTGGAGCCTTGCTGTGTTGCCCAGGCTGGTCTCAAACTCCTAGGCTCAACTGATCCTCCTGCCTCAGCCTCCCAAACTCCTGGGATTACAGGCATGAGCCATCATGACTGGCCAAAGTTTTAGTTTTCTCATGTATAAAATGGGGATAATAATTTCACTCATTCAGGGTAGTTTGAGGATTACATGAGATAATGGCTGGCACATAGAAAGAGTGAGGTTAGAGCTCCCCATTACCGAGAATTAAATGACTCTAAAATGTGGAGCATAGTGACTGTGACGTAGTGCATAGGAAATAATGTTAGCTGTTGTTTGAAAGGTTTGGAATATCATCATTTCACCTAGTAGCAATCAGACCCATAGAAATTGGATGAGCCAGAGGGAGTGGGAAGACCAAAATTGAAATTAATGATTTCCTCATATGTATAAAATTTGTCACTGCCCTCATTAAGTCTCAAAATCTTGTAGTCATCCTTGTCTCTTTCCCGTCCTCTACCCTCACTTCTAATCACTAGGTAAACCCTCTCAATTCTATGTTGATGGTGTTTTCCATTAGTTGTGTTTCCCCATTCTCTATACCCACCGGCCCACACTCCCATTTCTTCTTGCCTACACCATAGCAGGAGTCTTTTTTTTTTTTTTTGGCCAACTAAAAATATATAAAAAAAATTAGCCGGGCATGGTGGCACATGCCTGTAGTCCAAGCTACTCGGGAGGCTGAGGCAGGAGGATCGTTTGAGCCCAGGAGTTTGAGGTTGCTGTGAGCTAGGCTGACGCCATGGCACTCACTCACTCTAGCCTGGGCAACAAAGTGAGACTCTGTCTTAAAAAAAAAAAAAAAAGCAGGAGTCTTAAGTGACCCATTTCTTCACTTTTTTTGTTTTTGCTTTTTTTTTGAGACAGAGTCTCACTCTGTAGCCCGCACAGTGCAGTGGTGTCATCATAGCTCACTACACCCTCAAACTCCTGGGCTCAAGCAATCCTCCTGCCTCGGCCTCCCAAGTAGCTGGGACTACAGGCATGTGTCACCACACCTGGCTAATTTTTTCTATTTTTAGTAGAGATGGGGTCTTGCTCTTGCTCAGGCTGGTATCCAACTCCTGACCTCGAGCAATCCTCCTGTCTCAACCTCCCAGAGTGCGAGGATCACAGGCATAAGCCACCGTGTCCAGCCTCTCCTCACTTCTAAGTGCTGACATCCCCACAGCCACCAGTCCACCTCAGCACATTAAAATGGAAGCAACCTTAGGTATCACCCAGTCAGGTGATTCACAAACCCGGCTACACAGCAAAACTGCCACAGGAGTGGAAATACAAATACCTGAGATCCTACCCCCCAGACCTAGAATCTGTAGCTCTAGGGACTAATTTAACCTCTCTCAATTTGCCAACCCCCCCTCCCCCCCCCCCCCCCCGTTGTTCCTACATGGGAGTTAATTGCAGGTCCAACCCTTGTCTTTGAGGCAGTCTCAGGCCACTACCCAATCAGAGCTTTCAGTGACTGCCCTCTGTTTTCAGAGTAAAGCCCAAACCCTTGGACCTCTGTGACTCATTTCCAGACTGAGTTTCAGAGCTCAGGTTTGTCCTTCGTCCTGGCCCTCTGTTTCCTGGACACGCTCTGCACTCTGCCCTGGTGGTTATGTTCTTGCTCAGCCCTGAGATGCCTGCTCGCCCGTGCCCACCTGCAGAGGTTCAGCCGGGTTCTGTCCCTTCTGTCGTACATGGCATGTGCAGAACGTGGGGCTGCCCCTCCCCTTGTGTCAGAGCAGTACTGTCAGACAGAGCTCACAGCTCACACCAGCCTTTCCCAGCCCTCCATTTCGTAGGAATCTGATACCTCTAAACTTCCTGAATACCTGCAGGTCACAGCACGGCACTGATGAGGAGTCTGTGGCTCCCAGCCAACCCTGGTCCAGTGGAACAAATAGGAACAGCAGGAGAGGCCTGGAGAACCCCCACTTGTTCTCCACTAGATAGATCTTCCTAGAGGGGTCAGCACCCCTGTGTCCTTAACACAGAGAGTGTCAACCCTGTTGCCACAGTCCCAGCTTGCCCAGGTAATACATTGTTCCAGACTGGTGACTCCACTTATCAATCTAGAGTTTTGAGTTACTACATTCTTGTAGTGCTGCAGGCATTATTTATGTCTGATATTATTAGGCAAAGCCTGAGTTTAGTGACAGTGTCAGTGATTTTAATCCCCTGGCTGTGCAGCTTTTCCTACTAAACTGTTGGGCTGGAAGAGCGGCCTGTGCAGTGCACAGAGCCCCGAGCTTAAGAGGACCTGTGCTTGCTTTCATGCTCTGCTTTCATGGGCTTGGAATTCTTAGTAATTTCTGGACCAGAGTCTCCACACTTTTATTTTGCACTAGTGCCTACACATTAGGTAAGTGGTCCTGACCGCCACAGTAACTCTAGGGTGGAGGTTGAGATTTTGCATTTGTGACAAGACCCAGGTGATGCTGATGCTGCTGGTCCCCAGCTCACACTTGAGTAGCAGGATTCAGTCACAGGCGTGTAAGAGCAACAACTTGGCAGGAACCTGCAAGTCGGTAGCTGGAATACCAGCTACAAAATGTTGAGTGAGGCATAAGCTTGTCTGTTCCTTACACTTCTGTATTTTGGAGTATCTTTGTTACAGCAAGGTAGCCCGGTCCTAACTAAGGAAGTGAAACAGAGCAGGTCTCACAGCTTGTTCTGTTCTCAGTTAGTTAGCCTTAAATAGCTTTGGAAAAGGCCTTCTGTGAGTGCGCAATGGGAACTTGGCTCCAGGCCGGTCAAACTCGAGCTCAGGCTGCCTGGCTCCCCTCCCTCAGTGCTGGCGGGTGCTGACTGCAATGGCCTTTCCGACATGGGGGCTGGAGATGGAGTTTGGAACCAGGCATGAGAAGACCTCTTAGATCGCTAGCCCAGACCACGCAGTGCAGCCCGGCTTACCTGGGTTCTGCTTTGGAGTTTGGGGCCAAACCTCAGCTAACAATAAAGCAGATCATCGCCCTTGGAACTTCTCTCCACTGAGGACCTTGTGGGTTTGGTTTGGGCATAAGAGTCACATGTCCCTTGGATCCCCTAACCATAACGGTCAGCATATTACCCTATATTTTACCCCAGCTGCTGACAACATTTGTTGTAAGAAAACAAAAACAAAGTATTTTAAGCGAGATACTTTGTGGTGTGTAATAGGAATGCTAGCTAGGAATAGCTACCCTGTCCCTAAACCTATTAAATCATGGGAGCAGCCCTAAATTTCTCCAGTGTCCTATGAAGAACTGTGCTTCAGATCATGTTCCCACTGGGAGTGGCCTCTGTCTTCGTGGGACCACAGGGCTAATGGACCATCATCCGTCCACAGCAGTTTACATTTCTCTGTCTTGCCCAATTGCCCTGCCTCTTTCCCCATCTTGCTACCCATTGTGTTTCCTCTTCACTCTCATTCTCAGTCTAAGATCCAATCAACCCCTTTGTTCCTGAGAGAACGTGCTGTGTCCATGCCTCAGGGAGGTCTACACGTTCCCACTCGCTTTGGAAAAGCGAGGCATCGCACCACATGCCAGAAGCAGCCGATGAACAGCTTGAGACCCGCTAGCTCCCTCCCCTTTCTCCGGGCACTGACACAGCGGTGAGCTCCACGTGGGCCTTGACCCGCGTCTCGCAGGCACAGCCTGGCAGCACCTTGCTTTGGGTCGGCTCCACGGCCTGCCACTGCGTACTCCAGGGAAACGCGCTGGGCACCCACATGTGCACAGCCAAGAAAGGCAGGAAAGTTAACATTGGGGGGACACCCTTGACCAATGGGAGGTGGAAGCTGGTGAGTAGCTGCTTTTCTCTTCTGACTCCTAGTGGAGGGTGCTGGGATACTTTTTACTGTGTTCCTCAGAAAGTCCCAGTGGGATTGAGTGCCAGTGATGTGGCCTTTACCTGTGGCCAGCCCTATAACATGTCCTAGCATTAGCCTCGCTCTCATCTGGTTTACTCCCCCATCTCTCACTCCTGATCCCCAGGGTCATTCCCAAGTAAAACATCTGCATGGCAGACTTTGGATCAGCTCTGTTTTCCAGTGAAGCCAGGCTAGGAATCGGGGGAAGGCAGTGGGGTGGGGAGAGGGTGCAGTGGGGGAGATCATTCTGTTTGATTCGTCTATTGTCTGGCCTGTCTGTTATCCAAGTTAAGTGGAACCTCCATTAGAAGGAAGAATCAGTAGGTACCCAGCCATCATTGCAAGCTGGGTCATCTCTCTCCCCCCACAACCCACTTCCTTATCCTTCTATCACTCTGCTGTCCCCAGATCTCCACAGCTGAGCTCCCTGACCTCCCCACCTGCAGAGACAGCCCAGCGCATGGCCTGGTGCATGAAGTGCTGAAGGGACCTCAGTCTGTAGTCTCTAAAAAATCCTCCAACTACAGTTTGGGGTTCTGGGGAGAATGGCACATCCACACTTATCCAATAGTGAGAGAGCCAAAGGCATTGCTTCTGATCAAGTAACTAATTTTACAGGAAATGAAGTATGACAGGGGCCCCACGCTCACGAATTCACTGATCATAGCATGTTCTCTATGGTGCTAGAGTGGACAGGGGGTCTCCACTGCTGACCCTCTTGGCCTTGTTTAGTGTGTCACGGGTTCTGCAGTTAGACAAACCAGCCTGCTACCCTGGCTCTGCATCCGTTACCTCAGAGAAGGTCCTAAACATGTACCTCTAAATCTCAGTATCTTCACCAACAACTTCAAAGATTCTCTGTGACTTAGATCAAATAAAGCATGTGATATAGAGCATTGTCTTGCATTTGCAATAAAAAAAATCAGCAGCTATTATATTACTATTCACTGGCCTGCCATACTGTTGTAGTAGAGTTTGAAATGCCACCAATGTGTGCTTCTTATTAGGCTCTTGTTAAATTGTGTTGTGTCTGTCTACATCTCCCCCTTCCCCTTTGGAATAGTAAATGTTGTTGAATGAATGGCAAGTTACACAGGAAAATAGAAATGAAAGCATTTTTGCATTTTTATGACCCGTAAACTACTGTCCAAATGTTAGTTATGTTAGAGGGGCCGGCAGTCCAGCAGGGGAACTGACACAAGTAAAACTAGCTCTGAGGGGAGGGGCAAAATGACCCAGTAGATGTGACCCACGTGCTTGGGAGCCACAAACTCTAAGAGCAGAGAGAAGAGGAGGTTCAGTACTTCTCAGGCAGGCCTTCGGGTCTGAAGTGATGGGGGGGTTTGCCTCTCCGGCCCCATTCGTTGGCAGCCTTTAGGTCCGTTGAGCTCTCTGCTCCATCGCATGTCAGTTTCTGGACACTCTCTCTGACACCACTGTTATAAAGGCAGGCAAGAAGGAAATTAATCATCAGGCCACTACACAAGAGTCCACCCTCCCATGCTCTTCTATCCAAGGAAGGGCTCTTAGAGGAGCCCGGGAAAGCCAAGCAGGGAGGGGCTGGGCCCTCAGCCCAGGCTGGGCATCCTTCTTCAGGGCAGGTTCACACATCTTCCCCAGCCACACTCTGGCTCTGCCAGCAGCCCAGGCCCTGCACTGGGCATGGATGGGGGACACAGTAGCCATGAGGAGGGGACAGGCCCTATAGGAACCTGTTCAGGGCCCATCCCGGCTAATCCCCCAGGCAGGAAACTCCTGGAACTCACACCAGCATCCCAAGGAGCTCGAGTTACCTGATCAATTTTGCAACCCAGACACCCCCAGGCCCCCTCTGTGCGGCATCATAGTTCCCCCGAGCGTGGAAGTATTTGCCTGAATTTTCGTAATTGGCTTCTATCATGTGAAAGTAGGCTTTCATTACGTCCAAAGCCCCTGGAAAGAAAGGAAAAGGCAGAAAGGACACCAGGTGAATCTAAAGACTCTGATAACACTTCAGAGAGGAATGAAAGAATGAAATATCTTCCACTGACTTTAAGATTTGAGCCTGTGAGGTAGCACCCTTGCATACCATGAGTTGGGAAGAACATTCCTTAATCCTGGTTGGCTTCTCAGTAGCTTGAGTCAAGTGACAGCTATGTAGGTGGTCACGTGTGTGTTGCTGACTGACGACTCTGGTGTTATGTGCTACATCTTACTGAGGGCTCCCGGTGATGCGTTTAAAGGAGGGAACTCTCGGAGGAATCATAATAGAACAGGATTCCTCAATGTCCCCACTATGGAAATATACGGCCAGGTAATTCTTTGTTTTCAGGGCTGTCCTGGGCATTGTAGGATGTTTACCACCATCCATGTCTTCTACCCACGAGATGCTGGCAGCACATTCCCCAATGAAACAACCACAGATATTTCCCAATATTGCCAACTGACCCCTGGGCCACCCCATTGCCCCTGGCCAAGAACCACTGTTATAGAATGAAGCTACATGTAGTAAGGTCCAGGAACGTATATGAATGAGGTGGTGACATGGAAGACAGTCTGAGAAGGCTGCAGACATAGCGTACTTCTGCCCTGACACATAGAAAATATTTTCTTAAACTGAATGCACAGAATTGTGAGTTGAGTCCCTCTGACTGTTAGGAGCATAAATGTCCCTCACAACTGTCTAAATAAACTGTACTGATGTTGCAGTTGCTTGAGGAAGCCCTAGAGCAGTGGTTCTCAGCTTGGCTGTGCTTTCTTTCTTCTTCTTCTTCTTCCCCCTGCCCCCTTTAACAGGCTTGTTCTATGAATGGCTGCACTTTCTAACCACCTGGAAGGAAATAGAAAGTCCCAATACCAAGACCACACCCCAGGTTAATTTCTGCAGAATCCTTTGGGGGGGGGGTGGTGTTTGCAGGCATGGGTAGTTTTTAATGCTCTGCAGGTGACTCCAACGTGTGGCCAAGATCGATAACCACAGAGCTCTAGCAGGTGGTGGGCAGACACATCTACCTGGAAGAGCTTTGCCCTCCTGCACAGCTGCCCTCAAACTTCTGCTCTGCCACCTGCTGACTGGCACTAAGTCCCTTGGGCAAAGGACTCAGTTGCTCTAAGCCTCAGTTTTCTCACCTCCAAAGTGAGGGGAAGATGCCTGCCTCACAGAGTTAATCTAAATTAAATGAGAAAACACTCAGTTCCCTGTGGAACTTGATGTATGTCAGTTCCCATTTCCTGTTAAGTAGGTTGGAAGAGGGGAGGAAACTGATCTAGCCAGGAAGGGGCACACTGGCAGAGCTAGGCTAAAGGCCTCTTTAAGTTACCCAAAGAGGCAAAAAGGCAGGAAGGATGGAAGGAGACAGAACAGAAATGCGCTAAGAGATAGCTTTAATTATACTTTTATGTGATTTGTACTAAGGGACATTATATGCCAATTCTTGGCCTTATTTTGTGTCATCTAAACAAAACAAATAGCTGTGCTTCACCTGGGAATGACGACTGTTTGTTCCTGAGTAAATGAATGACACAATTTCTCAACTTCCTACTCTGTGTGCAGCTCCCCAAACACCTGGCACATTCTGGCACATTGGGCAGCACAACCTAAGACAGTCGCTCAAACCTTAACGTGTTCACAAATACTCTGTTGTTTGTTGTTCCTGGATCGCCCCCCACCACACCCACAGCTCAGGAGTGTGCGTTACTGATAAACATCGCAGCAGTGTCTGGAACACGTGTTAGACCCATGAACACACCCGAGAAACACTGAACTAGGGGACAGGAGACCTTCTAGCAAATCTAGAGGACCTGAGCTGGCCACCCTGCACACCCTTAGTGCATCACAGTCCCATAGCAAAGCAGAAACTGATAACTCTAGAAGTCTACAAGCAGCCTTCTGAGAGCATCGCTGTGCCACTGGAGAGGTGCAGGGTGGTGTTTCTCTTCAGGAATCCTGTGTGCCTTCTCCCTTCCAGACTCTGTGCAGACTCCAGCCGCCTGGCCCCCGTGAGGCAGGGCGGGATGTGCGCCTGCGCAGTGCGCCACCAGGGGGCAGCAGAGCGCCACGGGGCGCCCCAGAACCTGCCCTGACCTGAGCACAGCATCCACCAGTGACCTGGCGTGAGGACCCCACAGGCAGGTGCCAGGGCTCCCCCGGGCCAGCTGGAGAGCGGCTGATGCGAAAGCCTCGCCCCGCTCTGCCTCTCTGTGGCTTTCTAGCGGTCGCCCACATGCACCGGGCACGTGGACCCCACTCAGGGGTGAATCCCACGGCCGTGGACGCGGCCTCCTCCAGCAGCCTCACCTCCAGCAGCCTCGCCGAGGAATGAAAACCAGCCTCTGACTCCCAGGACCAAGGAAAAGAAAACCAGGCCCGTGAGAAGCTTCATGGTGCTGAAAAGAGAGGAGAGGGCCAGTCAGTCACCGTCCACACTGGCACGACCCCCTTTGGGATTTGTATTCCGAAAGGAGCCTGGTTGTTTTAAGTCCAGTGTTTTCTCATTCGAATCTTAGCGGTTCATCTAGGAAGCCTTGCAGGGGGACCCCACTCAGCGCCAGGTGTGAACCGCTCAGCCCTCTGACTGTGTAAGAGGATCCCAGGGGCGCAGGTGGAGGAAGGGAGAGTTAGGACAGGACGGCCCCTCCCTGAAGGAGCCTGTAGTCCACCAAGGAGAATGGCCACGTGTTCCCTCCGCCCAGCACAGAACTCACACGGGATACATGCAAAACACGATACGTATTTTTAAAAGGAAATTAAAAACTTTTTGGGAAAGAGAAAACTGTAAATTTTCTAAAAACATCACCTCTTGAAGTCCTTGCTCACCTGATTTCTGGAGGAGCAGAGCTGCTGGTCCCTGCCTGCCGGGGAGCCGGGGCTGCTATTTATACTGGGCCTTCCCTGTGGTGTCATGTGAGGGAAAAAAATGTACCTGGGGACAGTCCATGCAGGTCATCTCCCCCACAAAACTCTGAAAGGACACTTCCTGAACACCAGTGTTTTCTTCATGCGCAGGTCATTTTCCCCAGTTGTGCAACCTGAGGAAACAGGATAGGTTTGCTCTGCCCTGGCAGCCGTGGGGTGAGGGGATGGGTCTGCTCCTCAGAGTTGGAGGAGCCCAGGCTGTGGGGAAGGGGGTAGGGACCCTGAGGTGGTGCCACCGGGGCTGCTAGAAGGTGGGAGAAGTATAGGGCAGGTGTTCCACCCAGCACCTGCTTTACAAGTCATTTTCTCAGGATGGGTCCTGCTGGGCCAGACAATAGATGTCTCAGAAATTAAGTCCTTATGAGTTGAAGTCTAAAGACTTTGAGCTTTTTTTACTTACAGCCCAGCCCTGCCATCTCTCATGTGTGCCCTGGAAGGTCCTCCACCAGTCTGTCTGGATGTCCTAAACCCTCTCAGCTCCAAGGTACAGGAAAGCCCTGCTCAGCTGGCTTAGCCAATTAGGCAATGTCTTTTCTAAGCTGGCTCCTGGTTGGGGGCAATGTCGAGGAGGGGGCTTCCTGCCTACCCCATCCAATCATGCAGAATGTAGGAATGAGGGGAACCTTGTCCTTTCCCCCAAAAGTTCCTGAAACATCTATTCACAATTAAGGGAGATTAATAAGACAAAGGTTTATTTACTATGTGCATGGGAGAATCACAGAGTGATTACTCAATACCCCAGTGAAGTGCAGATATTTTTATACCTGTTTTTTTTTGGAGGGGAGGGAAGTGAGGAGTGCAAGTAATTGTGTTCAGGGGTGACAAATGGTGTTAGGGAGGACATAGGTATGGGAGAAACAGATTGACTGGTAAATTAACCTCAGAGACAGGTATTGTGTTTAAAATAATTTGGGCCATGCTTGGTTGCATTCTTGATCTTCTTCCCTGCAATATACTGAGATATTAATAACAGGGAGATGAAGGGAAGTCAACTGCCCCCTTTGATCTTTTGATCAGGTCAGTCTGGTTTCTGTAGATAGAAGGAAAGCCTCTTAAAAAGGCCTGTTAATCTCTAAGAGCCTTTAATTCAAAATACTCTTCATACCAAGGAGTATATTTTGGGGTGAAATTTCCTGAGCTCCTTCATTCTTTTTGTCTGGAACTTTCCTACAAGTTTCACACATTAAAAGCTGAGCTGGTAGCTGTGGAGAGAGAGATCGGGTTAGTAGTCAAGTAACAAGAGATCTGAAAAGGGAGACAAAAACATAGATTAGAATGAGAATGAATAAGTAGAAAAGAACAGATCTAAGCATAGTTCTGCACACTCCATTAAACCAGTCTGTCATTCTTGGAAACAGGTCTTCATTAATCTGGTGGAGAATATTTATCTTGTCTTTTAAGACGTGTACATCACGTTCTCTACTCATCCTGAGTGGCAAGCATATTCGCCAATAATGATGCAATCTCCTCCTTCTTGGCTGTCAGGCATCCAGGACCCAGTGGTTTTCAAATACAACAGAGGCGAGGATGTTGACTTCTAACTGAAGTGCTCCCAACGCTTGCATGGTGATACTGAACCCTGTTCTACTACCACAGAGACATTCAGAACTGCCTTTTCAATCTTATGAGTTCCAAATGCCAGCCAGAGTCCAGAGCACTAAAACGAACTTAGAATTGTGATATATAAGTGGGGTTTTTATAATATCTCGTCTAGTAAGTTTGCTTGCTACCACTTTATGAACAAAAGAGCCCAAGTTTGTGATTTGGCTGGCATGTAAAGTGGAGTACTTGGTAACAGAGGGTGTCAAATAACCAAGTCCATGGTGTCCTGATCATCTAGGTGGAAACCGCTTGAGTACTTTATCAGCACACAAGATAAAAAGACCAGTGTAATTTACAGATAGGGTCAGGTTGGAACCTGTGACTCCCCTCCCAGTCTGGAGTTTGCTGTGCCTCTTCTGCCTCACTGGCACTTGCATGCCTCCAGTTTCCAGTGTCCCTGCCAGTTTGTGGGAACAGAGCAGGTTTCGAAATATTTGATATAAAAGTCCTCTGGTCCAGTTCTGGCAGTTTTAGGGCTCGGCTGTGTCACTTAAGCAGGTCAGTCCAGACTTTTGATCTGTCCTTATACAATCTTTAGTGTCAGGCAACTTAAACAAGTGGAGCAAGGGAGCTATCCCGAGTTGTGCAGGCCTGGCTTGTGAGCTGTCCATAACATCTGATAATTTGACAAGCGTTGACATCATGAGGGTTAGTGTCAGTACCATCTAAGAGTGCAAGGATGCCATCTGTGGAGTCAAACCATAGTGTTTGATGGCAATATTGCCCTGTTGTGTCTCCCAGAAAAGATCGAGCATCATCAATGTTTTCAATGCAGAGGGAAAAATTTCTTTCTAGTGACTTTTTTTTTTTTTTTAAATTTAGAGACGGGGTCTCGCTATGTTGCCCAGGCTGGAGTGCAGTGGCTATTCACAGGCGCGATCCCACTACTGATCAGCACGGGAGTTTTGACCTGCTCCGTTTCCGACCTGGGCCGGTTCACCCCTCCTTAGGCAACTTGGTGGTCCCCCGCTCCCGGGAGGTCACCATATTGATGCCGAACTTAGTGCGGACACCTGATCGGCATAGCGCACTACAGCCCAGAACTCCTGGGCTCAAGCGATCCTCCCATCTCAGCCTCCCGAATAGCTGGGACTACAGGCGCGCGCCACCGCGTCCGGCTTTTTTTTTTTTTTTTTTTAGACACAGTCTCACTCTGTTGCCCGGGCTAGAGTGCCGTGACATCAGCCTAGCTCACAGCAACCTCAAACTCCTGGGCTCAGGCGATCCTCCTGCCTCAGCCTCCCGAGTAGCTGGGACTACAGGCAATTGCCACCATGCTCGGCTAATTTTTTCTATATATTTTTAGTTGGCCAATTAATTTCTTTCTATTTTTGGTAGAGATGGGGTCTCACTCTTGCTCAGGCTGGTCTTTCTAGTGACTTTACTTGAGCAAAAGATATTTTTCTTGAGTTTCCACGGAGGTTTTTCTGTATCCAGTTGACTCACCAACAGGAGAAGCAGCATGATGTTTATTTCTGTGGTTGTGGATGCCACATCTTGTCATACATCCATCTTCCAGACTGGTTCCACCAGGTACTCATATTGGCAGAAACAAAATGAGTTCAGGTTCCTTTGCATGATCTAGGTGTTGGCATAACCAGCTATCAGATTCATTAGTGTGGCCAGGGTTTGAAAGACTGGTGCAAAGGGATGCCAGGTTTGTGCCTGACCTGCTGGAGAAACGGTAAGGGTTAGTAGAGCAAGGCATAGTTTGAGAGAAGAATCATAGTGGAAGATAAAAGGGAGAATGGGCTAGGTTGAGGCGATCTCCACTCAGCTTCCAATGTGCAGTCCTTGAAGAGGGAGGCTTAAAAGAAGAAGTGTTTGAAAAGGACCATTTTGGATGGGGGGAGGTAAAAAGAAAAAGGAAGTTTTTAGATGAAAAATGGAGTTTCTTGATCCATGATTCTGGGAAAAAAGCCTTGTACTTAGTGAAGACGTCTGCTTCAGGGGCCTGGAAACTGGCCCTGGAAATCCTTACTTTCAGGTCACCTGTAGGGATCGTCCTCCAATTGTCTCAGTGTAGTTTGGCATGGTTGGCATGAATCCAGGAGGATTTTTCTTGTATTTTTATGGCAGTGTAGAAAATTGGCAGTACTTTGTAAGGGCCTTTCCAGAGAGGTGACAGCGTGTATCTTCTTCTAAGAACTTTGATGTACACATGAGCTCTTGGTCAAACAGGATGACAAAGCCTGAGAAGGCCATGCTCCTTTCACCTGTAGATGACATGCTGCAAGCACATTGGTTCAGCCCTGTATATAGCTGGTGATGGTATTGAATTGCTCACTTAGATCCCCACAGTGTTCAGTCAGCCCAGGAATGAAGGTTTAGAGGTGCCAGTAGACAGCAGGTGACAGAACACTGTTTCAAAATGGGTTAAATCCATGGAGCATTCTTGATTTTTATAAGGACAGAAGATAATGTTTCTAGCCATTTAAATCCAGTGTCTTGACAGACTTTACTCAAAGTCTGTTTTATTTCTAGACTTTTACGTTCCACTTGCCTGAGGATTGGGGATGACACGGGGTATGAAATTTTAGTAAGTATTCCCAATCCTTCACAAGCAAGTGATTTATTTCTGCTGTAAGCTGAGTCCCTTGATCTGACTCAATCCATAAAAGAATACCAAAACGAGGAATGATATCAGTTACTAATTTCTTTACCACTGTTGTAGCATCAGCTCGTCTGGTCGGATAGCATTCAGTCTATCCACTAAGCGTGCAGACAGTAATCCAACAGTGAGAATAGCCTATAAAACTGGAGATAAATTTATAAAATCAATTTGGAGTGTCATAAGGGACAGTCTGGGCCTTTGGGGGCCTCCTGGAGAGTGTTGGCTTCCTCCAGAGATTTCATGAGATTTACAAATAGCGCACTGGGAAATAATTTGGTCAGAGATGTTGTAGATCCCAGGGCGGTACTAACTAACTATATATATATATATATATATATATTCTTAATTATCCCCCATTTGCACATATGAAAGATAATGGACAATCAAAAAGCTAAAAGAAAAGGGGCCACAGGGACCTGTTCAGCCCAATATACAATCTATCTGATATTATAGGTCTATTGGCAATAGGAGTGTCAGCAGAAATTAAGAAATGAGATTTCCAAATTGTGCCAAGTGCATGGCAGACACAGAAGGCATATTTGGAGTCTATGTAGTCTAAATAGTCACATATAGTCTATGTAGTCTAAATGGTGGCAGCTTTTCCTTTTGCCAATATGCAAGTTCTAGTGAGTACTATATAAAAATTGACTCACGGCATTTTGGGGTAAGCTTTTGGGTGCCCTGAGATTTTTTGTCCTAAGTAACAGTCGTCCATACCCACTAGAGCAGGGGTCCTCAAACTTTTTTTTTTTTTTTTTGAGACCAAGTCTCACTCTGTTGTCCAGGCTAGAGTG